TCGAATTATAATATCAAATTGTCAAATGAATATGTTAATTAAGTACTTAATATATATTAGTTATATCTTTTGTTTACGTTTTCGTATATGTAAATATATGTTTATTTTTTATTTATTACATAATTAAGTTTAGTAATACTAACTAAGAATGTATTTTTTAAATACATTCTCTATATTTTAAAGAAGAAAAGTGCTTTGTGAGTGGACTTGTGAGTTTGAAAGGAGACAATTTTTTTAGGCCCACTCGATTCCGGGAGTGTTTACTAATCGTAATTGTACCATAAGAAATCATAAACTTACTGTAGAAAACTAGCAAAGAACTACACTTTAATCTAACCGGAAATTCAAAATAACATAAAAAATAAATGATGAACGTTCAAAACGCCTGTCGTTTTACTCTTATCAATGTTATCGTGAAGGAATCTTATCGTTTGCTACTTAAAAATGTTTGTTTATATTATTATTAATTGTTGTTAAAAACTCAGTGTTATACACTATAGTCGATTGATTATATCGAACAAATAGAGGTGCGGTTTAATAGTAAACGCCAGGATTTGTAGTGGGCCTATCGTCCATAAAAAAAGGTTAATAAATAAAGCACTCAGACTGCACAATTGTGAAACGGCGATATGAAAATCAAACCCGAAAAATATTTAAGTATTGTTGAAAATTAATTTATTACTTAATTATGTACGAAAAGAATAATAAGACTTTCTAATGAAATGAAACACATTCAGCGAAATCATTAGAAGTTAATTTTAATGTCGCCCGCCGGCCGGCACCAGGTGTTCCAGTTCCAGCACCTAATAATTACTCGCAAACTAGAACTTTGTAAAAGTGATTTAGGATTTCCTAATCCACTATGTCAATATATTTAGCATTGTCACTCAAAGACTTGTCTTGGTTTTTAAAAGAAGCATTATAACATGAAATGAAATAAATGATAAATTTCAGCCTCATTTCATTTTTTCTGCAAATAAAATACACTCACAGTATTGTTCATCCACCAGGTTTACTCCATATTCTATAACTGAAACAGTAGGTTACCAGGGAGGGTCCATTATGGTATGGGGAGGTATCTCTTATGAAGCTCGTACCGATCTTGTTGCGGTCGGTAGAGGAAGTGTAAACGCTCAAAGATACTTAGAAGAAGTTTCAATACCATGTCATACCTTATGATTAATGCATGGAACATGCGTTACGTTGCCATACTGCAAGATCCGTTAGTGAGTACCTTAATGTGGTCGGGATTCATTACCATGGCACGCTCGCAGTCCCGATCTTAACCCAATAGAGCACATTTGGGACAACCTTAAAAGGCGTATCCGAGCAAGAGTACCAGTTTAACTAACATATTAAAAAACTGCAATTTGCAAAGTTCGAAACTTAGATATCAATACAAATACGAAAAAGTACAAATAGAATATGAGTTGTTTATTCAACTTTGAAAATTAAATTACCTTTATACATGAAAGTAAACCGAAAGGGTTGTCATGGAGAAATCAAGAAAGTACCGTAGCGACATCTAGTTTGGTTTCGGGAACTAATTTTTTTTTATACTTCCTCATTGTGGGGAAATTTGATGGCCGGTAATTGTGATAAATAATTAATGTTTAAGTTTTTTAATAAAATAACACTCTGTACCGAATCACCCATAACAATTTATTACATCAGTTACGTTTTAATTATAAATAAGGTTTTTGAAAATATGTCAGCTATACAGGTTAAGTCAAAATTGCGTACCTCAGATTTATTTAAAAATTGTAGTATCGAATTACCTACTCTGAAGTGATTGTTGCCGCGCGATACCACTAACGACATCTAGCGAACGGTGTGGCAACCCGGACGACAAATGATTTGACAGCTGTTTTTTTTTTATTGAGCTTAACGGCTCTAGATTCAAGTCTTTTTGAGCCATACATTATTATAGTTATAAAAATAGAATTAAATCTTGACTATATTATTGAGAATGAGACAGCTGTTTCGAAATCAAGATGTTGACATTCGCGACTACCAGTTACTACTTTCAAACGGTTAAGCAAAGAAGCTACACGAAATAATAAATTTTAGAAATGGAATCGCAAAGGAGTACCGAAACCGTTCCTGTTCTGTGATGATATTTGCATAGGGGTAATTAGGGATATTTTGGTTGCTAACAATCTCCTCTACATCACGAATTACCGACATATTTATCAATCACCGAATAACAAAAATACATATATTATTTACAAACCAAAAATTTAATAACAAAAATATCTTATATAACTATAATTGACTGACATGATTACTCATTTGATACTTAAATAATTAAACAATCAGTCTTTAACTTCAAATACGCAATCGAAAATGTCAAATTAAGAAAAATATATATATATATCGATACTTTATCTTAAAGTTCGAAAATTAATATGATGTAATCAGTTGTCAATATAATTAATTACTTTAACATTTCTTAAAGATGAACTAATGCGATTGCAACAATTGTATGATCGTGAATGAATGAATGATTTTTTTTTTATTGTACACCAATGGACAAACAAACATGGATGCACTAAATTTAAATGCACAATCGGCATAGAAAATTATACGTATAATTTGGAATAAACACATGTAGCGTTTTTTGATTTCATTTAAGTTTATTTATTTATTTTATTTGATGCAGTTGTATTATTCGATCATAAGAATAATAATATGATTTTAAAAAAATAATAAAAATGACTTTACCTAAATTGATTGTGAATGTTTGTATAAATGATATCTTAATTGAAGAGTAATTACTAAAAAGATTTCTACAATTTCAAACTTAAATACTTAAACCACAAACATGTTCTTTTACATTTATTCACAATATAAGGCATGTTTCATGAATCACGATATTTATTTCCTAAAGGGAAATAAAGATAGCATAATATATAAGTTGTACTTGTACGCTCTGTTTTCTGCGGGATAATATATTATTAAATATTATTAGATAATAAATTATTTAATTATATATATAATTATCCTTTTAACTTGAAAGTAATAGACTAATATAGTACAAAAATAACATCATTATTCATTGATGTTATTTATTCAAAACAAACTATCAAAAACAAGAAAGTTTAAAAATTCTTCTTTACCGGTGATGTTTATTTTATATTCAAAAAAGGGATCTAATGGATACAGAACAAGTAAAAGATCTTCGTTCGTTAGTAAAAGTTGTCTTTAGTCGTTTTACATGAGAAGTGTGCGTAAAAATATAAGAAACAAATAACTTAAGTCTTTAATTAAATAGGAAATAATTCTATTTTGATATTTTCTTGATATATTAATTTTGATATGTTTGATATGTTCTAATTTTGATATCACTATAGGTATTATATATTTGACTAGTGGCCGCCAGCGACTTCGTCCGCGTTTGCCATTATTTCTTCGCTCCGTATAGTTGCAGCGTGATGTTATATAGCCTAAAGCCTTCCTCGATAAATGGTCTATTCAACACCAAAAAATTTTTCAATTCGAACCAGTAGTTTCTGAGATTAGCACGTTCAAACAAACAAACTCTTCAGCTTTATAATATTAGTATAGATATTGAAAGAAGGTGTTGTCATTGACTAATATTTATATCTAATGTCTTTGAAACTTTCCCAGTTTTACTGCTTGTTATATTTCATAAATATTTTTTTAAATGCGCTGAATAACAATAATATCTTATATGTCGTGGTTTATCAAGAAATGTAAAAATGTTATGATGGAAAAGTCTAAATGATATTTTTACAGCCCTGCGATGATATAAAAATCCAAACCCAAATTGGAATTCACTCATGTATACGAATTTACGTCATTTAGTGAAGAAATTCTATTGATTCAATTTTTGTATAAAAATACAAAACAAGATCGATTGATTATACGTGTCTCAGATATTCTATTTCTATGTCATTTCGAAACTCACTTCACTTATGCCACGAAACGTTATTACCAATTCAAGAATGAGCGGATGCCACTTTTTGAAGTAATTCGGACACCTGAGTGAATTCGAACTCGAATTTGAATTTTTACAGAATCGCAGAGTAAGTTGAAAAATTTACAGCTAATTTCATTTCAATTTAAAATAACGAAGTGTGAAACGAGGTCAGTGATTTCAATGTAACTTTTATTGATCAGAGGGCCAATTCTACTAAATAAATTTTGTTTAAATCGAATCTAGTTCTATTTTTTAGCTAGAATTGTATCGTATGTCACTTGGTAGAATAGAAAAACCATTAATAACTGTAGTTTCGTTCGGTTTCGATCCGTTTTCGATTCGATTTCAACAAAATTTATTTAGTAGAATTAGCCCCCAGTTACTTTATAGAGGCACTAGATAAATATCTAAAATTATCTAGACATTCGAATATTCTTATATTTAACTTGTCATATTGCGATAATACTGATTGATGCGCCGCGCCCGCATTAGGTAACTGACATTATTAGTTTAGTTCACGATATATTCTGGTGTTTCATTTTACTAGACTCACGAGTCGCTCAGCGATTTTTTGTTAAATATTCGAAAATGTTTCTTTACTAGATTTGTAGGATGTGAAGCAGAAATCATAATTGAAAATACTGCTTTCTAAAATGTGTTAGATAAGTCTGGCGAAAGTTTTGTTATATACGTGTTTCTTATATTATCACGCTACACCACTACTCATTAAATAAACTCGCTTTAAATCGGTATTATCGCGTGTATTTTTGACATTATTCAGACGCTTGGGATCGTATATAGGTCTTTACATTAAATACACAATAAAATCGTTCAAAAAGTAGGCTTATTTAAAAGTGTTATATTTCATGATATAGATAATCATTTGTAATACTAAGAATGAAGCTGGGATTATATCTAACCCGTGCTGCGTGTCGAGGCAGTATAAGAAAATGCCTTACCCATTCCTTACCCACGCGGCGACATGCAGCGTGGGCTAGACGACGGCTGCAGATTGAGAACCTAATTCTCGATCTTATATTTATAGTGACAACTTTTATATCTCAATATCGATTTTTATAAATATAACATATACATAAATGAGGATATAATTTATTTTAAAAATATTTTTTTAAACTGGGTAGTATAATACTACCCAGATTATTAATTTAAACACATATAAGTAACCCATTCTTCACTATAGTCATACTGAGCAAAACGATCACAGCAAAATCACGAGCGTTTAGTCTTTCATAAAACTTACCATATAATCTAAAACTAATCATATAATCGAAATCTACAGAAGATAGGTCTTTAATATAGAATGTAACTAAACGATTTCAGCTATCGTCAATCGAAGCACTGTCACATTCACATCACCCTATACGTTCATCGATAAAAAGTTATCTCAACACTTGACCGCGTCGCCGGCGCCGTCGCCGACTCCTTGCTCGGCGTCGCCGGTCGCAGGCGGCGCGTCGTTGTGGTCGCCGTTGACGAGGGGCCCGAGCTCGTGCGCGTGGCGGGGGCCGGGCGGCGCGGGCGGCGGCTGCAGGCGCGCGTACACGCAGCGCAGCGCCACCAGCGCGCCGAACGTGAGCGCGGCGGTGACGCCGAACGTGGCGTCCGGCCCGCGGCGCGCGTACACCGCCGCCACGAACACGGGGCCCAGCGCGCGGGACACGCACCCGGCGCCGGTCAGCACGCCCATCCACACACCCTGCCACACGTGATATCCTCGTCTTGTATTTACGTGGACTCAGACTATACCCGACCCGCACTGATCGATTTCATATCTATCCCACATGTTAATTGTAAAAGTCAATGCAATATAAATTCAATAGACATCTCATTAGTTAATAATAAAAAGTCAATTGAGTGTCGAAGAGCATTTAAATAAAATTAATTAAACACTATCTCCTTGAATACTAACTAAATTATAATATATATGTTGCACATTAAACGTCGACGATCATAAATTATAATTATGTACTTTATACACCATATCCCATAAATTATTAAAAAAAAAAAGAATTTTGATTCTGTTTTGGTTGTTTGTTTGAATTGAGGAGACTCCGAAAACTATTGGACCGACTTTAAAAAGTAATCTAATGGAGTGATTATATTATAGTGTCGCTTTTCGAGTGATGTAACCGCCGCTTAATACGCCCCATCGACAAACGTTTAAATAGTCAGCTGCATGATTCCATCCATCCATAAGAGAGTAGATAAATGGATTATAGGTAAAATACATAGTGACTAGCCCATGTTCGATGTCCCGTCCGTCGATGTGGTAACAAAAGTAGAAAATTAGAAGGAAGAGGCACGAAGCCTATGCGAGTCGAATACCCCTGTGTTTCCCCGAAATTCGGTCCGTATGCCACGAGATAGGTCAAACACAAAATACGACTCGAAACGAAGACGAGTGGATTTGTTATTGCCTTCAAAAATACCCCACTACGTACTTCAACATCGTAAATCTGAACTTTATGTATCTAACAACACTTAAAATTATAACTACTATTTTGAATAGTCTTAAATAGTCTAAGAAATGTCTTTATAACAGTAGGACTTCGACTCATTAGAAACTTCTTTTTCTTCTCTCTCACAGAGACTTTAAGTATATTTACCGATAACTCCATGGAAAAGTTATCTTCAATGACAATAGATACATGTTTTTACGCAAAGGTACGACGTCATTGGTAATCTAAACAAATATTTTTATAAGTTTCTAAAAAACACCTAGCTTTCTTTTTAGGTTTTCCGTATAAAACCCTCAATAAATATAGAATAACAAAAAACACAAACTAACCTGAGGTCTAGGACCCAACACCTTCGAGAAGATCGTCTGTATAAGAGTTACCCCTAATGAGTACCCCACGGAGACGCAACCATATGCCAGTAGGAACTGCGTAAGGGACATTCCGCGTGACTCCTCACACCAGGGTTGTTGCAGCGCGGGACACCCGCCGCCCGCTTCTGTCGCGTTGGCAGGTGCTAGCGGGGGTGGACCCGGTCCCCACGGAATGCATAGTACTGATGCTAAGCCCGTTAACAGGAAACCGCCATATAAGAGCAATGCCCTAAAAGAAAACAAAATAAATTACATTGTTAAATCCAAAGAAAAGGAGGAAGGTCTATGACATCTTATTATTTTTCATCACTGCTATGAGGCTATGTAATTGAATAAGAATTTGTAGTCAATGTGACCTAGTAAATTAATTGTACATCATGATCAGAATTAAAGTAGGTCATTTAGACTGGCAGCTCTTAAAATTACATGATATTCCAGACTTTAAAGATTCATATGCTCAGGGCTGATTATATGTCGTCCTAGATGTATGTCACGTAAGTGGATCAGTGATCAGATTCATTCAGTAGATCTTCTGATGTAACACACAAAATTACAGTTACCTCTCCTCGAAGAACTTTGCTAGTGGCGTGATGAGCGCGAAGGTAACACAAGCTAGAACTGCTCCAGCACTCATGAGCGCGCCCATATATTCGAGCGCCTGTTTCTTATTCCACGCGAACTGGTCCATTGTAAGTGAAGTCGCCAGAGTCTCCAACAACACAAAGTTAAACACCAGCACGAAAAATGCGGCTACCAACGTCCAACTACTTATCAGATCAGGCTTCATGGATTTTAATGCTTCTTTCTCTATAAATTATATAAAAAATTTGTTAAACATATTACACAAAACAAAAAGCTCAGTAGAAGTCATCAGAGAATCAATATTACGTCGCATTCGATTTATTGAAGATCTTTCAAATGTGTTAATATCTTTAGTTTTCTGGAATATTTCTTTCAGTCGTTTTGGCATTTCCTTCAATCGTATTCGATTATTACGACAAAACTGAAGATACAATTATGAATTTCATTCAGTGCGTATAGAAGTGGAAAGAGGATGATTGAGAAATACAAGTTAAAATAGTAACTAACCAGAGGTTTTTCCCTGCGCAACCATAGCTTCACGGGCAGCAATGGTCCGCTCTTTAAAGCACCAAGGCAGCAGCAACACAAAGTTGACCAGTCCCAATACTGCGTTGGTCCAACCAGCAGCGGTGAACATATCTAAGCGGAGCACAGGCCCCCACTCCCCAGGAGGAGGGTAGTGGTCTCCGGGGCCTAATGGTGCTACAGCAGCTTGAAGTGCTGGACCAACTACGAAGCCGAGGACTTGCGCTAATGATACAGATGCAACAGCACGTGTTCGCTCGCTCACAAGAGTGGCTGCTGACAAGTAAGACCGCGCCACTGCCACGTTTGCTGTGGAATTAAATAAAAATCATTAATCATTAATATTTACTAATGGGATTATCCAAAACGATTTGAGATACCTGAGTGCCTTATGATGCTCAGTTATATCTACATACACCTTGAGGGATCTTGTATAAAGATATATTATAGGCATTTGCTACTTCAGAGTTAACCGGAAGTTGTTACTAGTACTTTGATATTTTGATTGAGAAATGAGAATATCTAAACTAAACTAAATAAATGCGCACTACTCTACTGGTTTATTCATCTATAACAGTCATAAATAGTACTGGTAAAATTGCTTCTGTCAAGCAAGAAATAACTATAAATGTTTCTTGCATTGAAACTATGGCACTAATATTGACATTTTAAAAATGTTCTACATGGATAACATATCTAACAAAAATTATTAAACTGCACTTTTGGGTTGTGGCCACCGCATATCCAGTGAGACATTTTTTTATTTGTACAGATAAAAATAGCACCACCCACTCTACAACCAATGCCCCAAATAACTACGTCTTATCAGAAGATTATAAGCATTAAATTCCCAAGATTATACTAGAAATTTTGTGGAAATTTATGTTATTTAATTGATAATCGTATACTATAATAACAGCATAAACTAACAGAAGTGTATCAACAATTAACAGCGTTCATATACCAATTATACAATTTGTACCTGAGTATTACCGAGGACAAAAGCTTTTGTTTAAATTTATTTCATATCATTTTGGCCACCAAATACTAACTTGTTACTTTCTCATACGACACGGTGTCACGGCATCATCATCATAAGTCCATAACAGTATATTGTAGTGTGTGTACTCTATGCACTAACACACTCTAATCTCGTCTCAATATAATAAGCTCAAATGGAGCGTAATTACAGACAATGCAATCGTAGTCAGGTGTATAATTTACACAGCTGAACCGGCAACTACGACGACCTCTCGCAATACGCTCTGTTTTTTCTGTGTTGAGTTGCTCCCGTTCAAATTTTATCCGCGACTTTTCTCAAATCATCGCTTTCCACCTTGCTCGAAGGTGCCCTACACCGTGCTTAATGACTCGCAATCTCTAACTCGCTTACCTAACACTTATCTATTCATCAACAGGCAGGGCTAGCTCACTTCCACTTCAGTTTCCTTAACTTATTATTTAGTATATATGGTTATATTTAAGTAGCGATTTATGTGCCTAGACCCGAGACAATATATTAATTATTATGTATATGAGACGGTGAAACCTTGAAACCGGCGTGTGAACCAGTCCATCAAAAAGATCGTGGCGTATTTTCACGTCGGTTCCCGTTCTTCCGTGAAAACTAAGTAGTTAAAGCATTGTCCTTACACAGATCTTCTCTTTTTAACTCTTTTAAGCTCCTTTCGTACATGCTCGCTGGGTTTTATAGATACTGACGTCACGTTTCTACATCACATTGGTTTTCTCAGCTTCTACATCACTCCAGTTTTATGGTGGTCCTTTCGTCACACATTCTTTCTGTCTGTGTTAAGTGACGTAGAATATGTTATGATATACATTATACAAATATACCTACATCATGTAAGTTTCACGTGAAAGTGATTATTAGAAGTGATTTTGTACACGAAACTGTCCCGAGAAATGGAATTCCACTGCATCTGTTGGCAACAGTTGCTAAAATATAAAACAATCATCATAACAAAGCAATTGGCGAACACACCAGTGCGAATCTGTGACTGACACATCGATCAGTGAATCATGCGCAGGCGGTTTCTATCGGCATTGTGCTTCAATTAACTAAACTACACGGATCAATACAATAACACAAGCCAATGATTAAATTATCTTTTAGCATAATCACGAGAAAAGTGAGTGTCGGAAATGTTATGTAAATATTTTTGATTGTTTTCAATAGAAAATAATAGAATCTATGCTCTCATAGACATCATTTGTACTCTCATTTTACCGTTTTTCAAGAGAATGTGAATGTAACCTTACGCTATTTAAGCACTTCACTTGTAGACAAAACTAAAAACCCTTTAATTCGACAATCAATTACAAAAACAACTTCATAAAATGTAGGTACCTATTTACCACTACTCGACAATACACAGTTATGTCTATATTTCAATTAATTCAAGAACAAAGTGCCTGTCCGTATAATATTTTGAAAGAAGGCAACATTTCAATAGTTTGACACAGATTGATTTATAAATGGAGCTGTTTAAAGATAATCTGGAGACCTATTACTGCAGATATAAACGACCTTATAACTAATCTAAATAAAATTAATAGTAATATTAATAGCTAACGTACCAGAGCTGACGCCGACCAAAAATCTCGCTAACACCATCCAATAGGTTGCATGTGGACGCGTCAAGTGTAGCTGGGCGTAAAGAGTACTCGCCAGCACCGATAATGCTAGAGAGGCAAGCAGCGGCGCCCGCGCACTGCCAGCGCGGTTGGCCCACAGGCCTAGCAAAGGGGAACATAACAGTTGTCCCAGAGGATGGGCACCGACGGCCAAGCCTAGGACCTCTTTCTTAGAACCAGGCTCCAACTGAAATGAAAAGATTTAATATAATATTAGTTCCTATGTTATGTATCTGTAATAGTAAAATAAAATAGTTTTGTATCTGCAATAGCTATATAACTACTAAGATCTATATAAACAAATCATTGGAAGTTATTGGTATCAAACTGATATTTTTAAATGGCGTTAGTATACCCATTACAGGACACTGTTAAAAATGTTAATGTCCAGTTCGAGGGTAATTAATCTTGGGGTCTTAATATTTGTGAGGTGAGCAGGCGCTTACGGCTCGCTTAAGTCCGTTTTGCTGACAAAGAGTCTATTGCGCTGCCTTGATTCTGCCACTTCTTGATTATGCCGATGCATGTTACTCCAACCTAAATGACGTTTTCCTAAATAAACTTGAGCGTCTCCCGAACTCATTTATTGATTTTTCGTTCGTTCTATATGAATACGATCATATCTGCTCATATCTGCTCTGCTATCATATCTGCTACCGTTCTCAACTTCACTGGCAACCTATTTCTCATAGAAGAGACTGTACTTACTATTACTTCTGTATTCCATTCTCTATCATCCATATACTTCTCTTTATCTGAAAGAGCGCTTCGGCTTTTGCTCCTCTAATCTTAACCGAGAACATCGATCTTCCCATAACCTTTCCTTAGTTGATCCATCTCACTCAACTGACTTTGTAGCGAAGTCATTTTTCGTCAGAGCTATTAATATTGTGGAACACTTTGCTTGTGGTTATTAAACGCGCGCAGTCTCGGGACTCTTTCGTGAATTCCTCAAACTAGATTCTTCTTCATTTTAGTACTTTATCTTTCCGTCACTATGTCCTTTTTTTCCTTAATATGTATGGGTTAATAGCATGGGGGAATTCAACTGATATAAATAAAGTTTTTATAACACAAAAAAAGTGTATTAGAGCAATATGTAGGGCTGGGCCTTTGGATTCATGTAAACCTTTATTTAGAAAGCTTAAGTTACTGAAAGTCACAGGTTTTTATGTTTTGGAGGTAGGTATTTTTGTGAGAAAATATGCTAATTTATTCCAAAAAGCTACCAGTTTTAATGAGTATCCTTCTAGAGACTCAACCAAATTATTACTACCCAGATGTGTAAGTGACATTTACCACAGAAATAGTTCTTTTATGTTAGTAATTTTTTTTTATTTTATTTAATTATTTTTTAAGGCAACTTTCCGAATGGCTCTGTGATAGATGCTTTTATTCAATTAAGGAATTTATGAATAAATAATAATTAATGTAACATAACATTCTTTAGTATGTACAGTAATAATGACTTAATATTGATACTACTTGATTATGACATCATTTTCAAGTTACTAATTTTTATATTATTTGGTGTGTTCAATAATTATAATAGCGTAGATTACTTTGACATTTTTATATTTTGTATGCTGAATATTTAGCGAAACATGCTGACCAGTGTACCCAATCCTAAGCTCTATGTAACCATGTTTCTGGCAAAATCAATTTTTTTTTTCTAGTTAAGTAGATTTATTTATTTAATGCACTAACCCGCGAAACTTCTCCTTAGTTGGTATAGTCTTTATAAGTCAAAAGTTGCCTGGTTGAAATTGCTAGCTTAGCAATAACTTTTCTATATATGCATATTCGTTTTGTGTTTGTTTTTAGTGCTATAAAGTATATTCAATCAATTGATCAAAAACTTGATTTTCTTTTTCATTTTACTTATTAGGTATAAGTAACGGAAAAAATAAATAAATAAAGTAATATTTAAAAAAAAATTGTATTGATTTAAATAATGCAATATTGTTTTAGCGTAATTAATTTCACATAAAGAAATTGACGCTGTCCACGACCTTAGAATAAGTTTTAACTTATAATAATTTCAAATACCTCCAGTTACAGAATGTTATTATAAACACACAATATTGTCGCATAAGATACGTCAATGTTAACTGACTGATTTTATCTAAAGATAAAATTCACTGTTTGCTTAGTAATATGAAATGATTACACTGAAACAGACGCAGGTGCATGTCTGGGTTTTGTTTTGATCTCAAATGATAAGTAGATAAATCAAATTTATCATTGTTATATAACGATCGTAATGTACCATGAATTTGATAGGAGTCTCTCTTCTTAACTGTTTAAGTTTTTGTTATTTACGTTTCAAATTGTTTGAAATAGGACAAATTTTTAGTCTGTCCAATAAGTAGTTTCAGAGCCAATTTGATGTAAACAACTATTAAGTCTTGTGTAATTTTGACGGGACCCTATCATTTCAAGCAAAGCATTTTTATATCGTTTTGTCATGAAACATTAAAGACAAAACGGCATCGCACATCGAACATACAAGAAAAACACCATACTATTGTTGATACAGAACAACAGCGCCGACTGTATTTTCTATTCTCAGCTGCACATCAATTAACATATGTCCTGTCATTAACGACATCGTGTTTTAACACACATCAATTTTCTAATTAACATAGAGCAACAAACAAGATGACTACATTAAATTAAACACGTTTTCTTCTCATTCAAATTACACAAACACAATAAGTACGAAGTCACTAACTTTGATAATTTTATAAAGCGTTGACTTTCTATTTGAATAAGTACAAAAGAAAGGTTACGAGTCTCAGTGCCAACCACCTGCAGTCAAGGTTATTGCACTCAAATAGTCAACAAAACACTTTATTATTAATTATTTTTGACAAATTTAGCAATAACACTTTTAAAACATAAATATGAATAATAAACCTGACCAATAACTTAAAAAAAAAACCGAATTATTAGATGTGAGAGATGGAATCTTGTAAAATGTAGAATATTTTAATTCTATATCTCGATCATGCTTTCAGCTGTAATAAATGGAAGTGTATTTTCTTTCTGCCTTTGAATTATACAAAGAATACCGAAAGAAACAATTTATTATTCACATTTCTGCTGTAAATCTTTTTTATAATGTTGGGAGAGTATTGTATAATTCATGTCATAACTTGATATTTGTTTATAACATTTATCATTAAACCCGCAACGCTAGTTTTCCTCAAAGTAACATTTAATACCTAATCCATATCTTAATATGAAAAATAGGTTTTATAAATCATCGATTTTATATAACTAAAAATAAATACAATAAGCAAGAAAAGTCACACGTTCGTCTTCCTTTATCAATTTAAATCTAACAACACAATTCAAACAGCCTTAAAACCTTTTTAGACAAGTATAAAGTCTCTTATGTAAATATATTTTAGTGCCTTATGTAAGTATAGTTTCATTTCTTATAATTCGACTAACATTTCTATTATTATCATCTTGTTTCTTAATACCTACAGTGTTATATTGACATAGATCAATTGTTTCTCACCTTTTTATTACCATACCTCTATGACCTATGAGGAAAACTGTTTTTCCCTAAACCTTAAAAGGATTGTAATACATTCATTATAATATAGATTTAATATAGATTTGCATTCACCAGTTTTTAGTATGAGGTTTAGGTTTTTTAAAACATCTTTTCAATCGCGTTGCCGGTTTGTTGCTTTTTTATTAAATTAGGCTTAGTTTCTTGTTACCTCTATATAATAGCCGAGTTACCCCTATATTAGGAATAAAAACGATTTTTTATGAAAAATTACATTTTATTTTACTTTAAATTACTATGTAATTTGTAATAACTTAATAGACAACTACCATCCAACATCATTTACATTTTCTGAATAAATACATGTTAATATTTTTTTCGTAAATACCTACACGGTTTCTGAATTGATATAAATGACCTATACATTGTTACGAGTCCATTATATTGTGTTTATACTAATACATAATCGGTTATTTACATTGTTATTACATCGACAATCATCTCGTTATCAGAGGCAATAAAGAAACTTGTTTATTAGATATTACTTTTATCTTGATTTGCTTGTAATAGTTACTATATTGACTTATTTGAATTAACATATGCATGTAGCTTCTTATTTAGCGTTAGGACATACTTATATAAAAACAGTTGGGATGTAATAATGATACTTACTCGTTTATTTAGGTATCAGCATAAATACATTTTGTATAAAGACTATGAATAATGCACAATGTTGTAGGTAGTCATTATTTTATTTTTAAAACTGAAATCATTACAGTTCTTTGACTGAAAATGTGCCAGGAGAACTTGTTGATTAATATATTTATGTACACACATTTTCACTAACCTATAACAAGGCATAGCGTAACTAAGAAAAGCCTAATATTCCGACTCACCTAAGTAGCTTAGTTTAATTCCAAGTAAATATTTTGTTTCTTTTCTCTTGACATGTTTATGACCTGTCATATACGCAAACGCCTAGCGCAAGGTGCCGCATAACGAGTATCATAACTTTAGATAATGCTTAATTTCGTTAGTTAGATCCTAGTCAATGGTGAAATGCATTTTTACCATAAGCTATTCCTATATATTTAGGCGATAGATTTGGGCATTACTCTTTGAACCGTAATATGTTATATCTGTTAATGACGTCAATCAGAACTAATAATAAAAAAGCTATTACCTACTGTACGGAATTGTCGATTATTTCATTGACCAATTCGTTAAAATAAAATTATTGGTACGTAGCATTTTACGAAAAAAGGATTCAAAAACTTACAAGTAACTACACAGCTGAACCTCGTGATGTTTGAGACTTTCTATGGAATATGCCAGTTCAAATATTTAAAAAAATATATGATCTACTTTTATCAAACATATTGGGAATTGAGGAATATGAATAAATAACCTACGCTTTTTTAAACTCGATAAAAATAAGCTTAGTTATTTTTGATTTGGGAAAATAAAATCCTGTACCCCTGTAATTGAACCTTAATACATCTACAATCTAGAAACGGATAAAATACCAATATTGACGGCTAAGTAACTATAATATGACATTATTATTAATAAAATATATATAGTTGCTAAAATACAGTAGTTACGATAAATTCTTAAACAATAGAAACAAAATGTTGAACTTGTGACCTCAGACACTTCCTCAAATTTATTTGACACGACCGTGATTTAATAGAAGCTTCGTAAATGATATAGCAACCGACTGACGACTCTATCAGAGGTTTAACCATGAAAATTTATAGTAGGGAATCGAAATAATTCGAAATAATTATTTAAATCGAAATAATTATTGTATCTTGTTTTTGTTTTAGAAAATGCTTGATTACGTGTCCAATTTTGATGAAATATTTTATGTTATGTAACATATCATTAGCGCGGCTAAAACGTTTTAAATGGAATATTCATATACTATAGGTTTGCACCAGATCGGTTCAGCTGGAACAGTTTTGGGACAAAGTTTTCGTTCTTAATGTGATTGTGCTACATTCTATTTCTTTTTGACCCAAATAAATGGATTTTATTGATTTATTATTTATAACGATTAATAAGAAAATCCCGCCCTCGGCTACAATGTGGCTCACGTATTTATCAATTTGTCCTATATAAAATGGTGAATAATTGTGAATTTTAAAGGTATTTTTGTTATTTTTCATATAGAGATTATAAATTGATCTTTTGGCTGGGACACAGACAGAAATGTGATAAAGTTTATCATCATATATAGTCATGATTATCACAACTCATTGGGACGTTATTTTTTGCTGTCCCAAAAACCAGATGAAAGTTTTATTTTTTATTAAATGAAAACCAACGTGATTAACATTGTAAATATTATAATGAATAGATAAAAATCTTAATTACACAATAGAAATTAAAAAAAGTATTTATCATATAAAAAAATTTAAAACTAGAGGCTAGTTGTTTAATTTTAAAATATAATTTTTAAATTTTCATTTTGATGTTTTTAATACATTTACGAACTTCTAGCTACAGCTATTTCATATATGATAGAGTTTTCTTTTGAAGCTATTGATTGTCTAAAGCAAGCACAAGACGCAAATATCTTAGAAATCTATTAAAACATGTCAAACGGAACCGATTTAAGTAAGTTTTGTTATGTTTCTTAATCGTTCAAATCGTTATTCGTTCCAAAAGCGGTTGTGACTTTAAAAGTAATAATAATTCATAAATCGCGATGAAGATCCCCGCACTTTTGAAAGCAATTACAATAGATTTTTATATTAGACGATTATACCACTTTTCATCGTATGTTTTTATTTATAATCTCATCAACGATTATATAAAAACGTCTGCTTCGTTATTTCTAATATAGTAATGGAAAGTGACTTCATAGTCTAATGTTATAAGGAAGTCATAGTCTAATTGTATAATCGCATCGGGATAATCTACATTGGTATGGCTTATGCAGAGTCCTGATTGGCCATTTTTTAATAAATGTATTAACTTTAAGTTAAATCATTATTGTGTCTAGCTATGTGGTCAATAAATGTATTTTCTTTCTTTTTCTTAATTGGATTTTTCTGTCTGAAATAAAACAGAAATATAAAATAATAAAGCGAGTCAGGCTCGCGTACGAAGGCTTCCGTACGTTATGTTATGTATGATGTATCGTAGCCCCATACATATACATTTTATTCAACTTTTTAGTATATTTTGTATAAAGCCTATTGACAAACGGATAAAAGATAAAACCGCCAACCGGACCGATAGGGTCCTTTTGGATACGGAACCCTAAGGAGTCTTTGATGAGTTGCTTTGCCGGTTCTGCACAGTACAAGGTCTCCCGCCGAAGATTTGCGAACCGATGACGTAGGTTACTCTTAACAAGTGCTGGTAACAGCCTAGACTACATAAATAATATTGAATTTTGTATATTTCTATCCTTATCAAAGGGTCTGTATTAATAGTCAGATAACGATAACGTGAGTAATGAAAAATCAACATTATAAAGTATAATTAGCCTGCTGGCACGATATGGTATTATTTTCCATACTATATTATCATAGATGAAAGAAAAATATATACTTTACCTATACTCGGAGACCTTCTTGGTCGAGTAGCTGATGAGGTCAATACAGAAAAAGATAACTTTCTCATATACAATGTGATAGCGTGTTATATTATGCTTTATTGTGCGTTATTCCCCAATGTTATTATAACAATGAAATTATTACAGCACAATAGTAGCGACTTCAAGTCAAATATAGCGACTTCATTCTTGATATATTAGATAAATAATAGATAAGTCGATACATGGGAAATTATTTTATGTTAAAATAAAATTCATGTAGGTATGGGTCAATTTTTATGATATAAATTTAATTTTTGAAAACTACAAGTATAACAAACTATAATATTTCTTTAAGCAAATATAATTCGAAAATAAATATTTGTTTAATTTTTTCTCAACTTCAATATTTCTATCTCTACATTTCGGCAACACAAAATGTTAATCAAACTCAGTTGTTGATGATGACACTGTTTTTTTTATCATCTTTTTCGTCTAATTCTTGGTTAGCCTGGAAGACATAGTAATTTGCTATATTTGTTTTCATTTTAAATAATCCTGTTAGACCTATATACTATAGCAATAAAAAGTTCTAACTCTAGACTGCCTGCCCGCATAGACAATTATAGCTCTATATTACTTGTAGATTATTTAATTACTTAACCCACAACACCCCACTGCAGGATTCAGTAACCAGTATATTAGTCGAATTATTGTTAAGCGAACATAATAGGAGAGTTGGCATTGAAGCATTATTTATCATATGATTTACGTAATTTAAGATCAAAAGTCAATGCTCCTACTATGAAAATGAATATTCCTATCCACCAGTGGTGCCTGCTATAAGTTAATATGAGGTAATATCAGCCAATTTAATCATGGAATCTTAATGATTTCAATGTTCTAATATATATAAAGATATCATTAGACATAACATAGTGATTATTAAAACGCTTGATGTATAAATTAATATTTTTGTATTAATTTTATGACATAAAACGTATTGAATTTATATTGTATCTTAAATTTGTGTAATAAATTTCAAATTTTCATTTTAATTTATTACAGTTATTATAATTTGGGATTCGCGCCTGCCCATAACCGAGTTTCATTGTGATGGGGACTCTACATTTTGGCGAACTACCGCAATATAGGTAGTAGGACTCTTAAAGTATTAATCTTACAAAGATTAATCAATAAACACACGATTTTGTCAACTTCGAAATTGACACTTAAATTGAAATTTCAAAACACCGTTCCGTTGTTTTTTATTTTCTATATTTAAAATCTCATAAAGGTAATTTTAACTACTTTTTAAACTTTCCTTAACGCATCAAACTTTCTTATAACATTATGGTACCTTTGTTTAAGATAAAAAAGATGCATTCTGACGGAAGATCGGTCGCGTACCTAACGCATATTTCTGTGAACCCAGTCATTTATGAGTAAATAAATTAACAAGATGCTCAAAAATCCTTTTCATGCGAACTGTATTAAATTAGATAAACTCCCATCACGTAATTTTTCATTGACCTATCTCTTATTACCTAAATTATTATGTCGTACGCTTACACGGACGTTATAGAGGTGCCAGATAATGTAATCAGGAATCCCAAATTGTACGATAATGAAAAAGGAACGGCAAACAAGAACGAAATTGTATAATGATATACCTAGATGCATAACAAATAACTATTAATGTTTCACCCTTGTCTCACCTTTATACGTAAGTGTATATGTAAAGCCTTGAGACAGCACATCACACAAAGAATAAATGCATCTCTCTGGTTTGTTTTCATAACAAACTTGTCAGTCTCTCGTTTCGTATTTTAATGCAACGCTAACAAAGCACTTTATTCAATAGCACTTCGTTGCCATGCACAAACCAGCTATTAGCGTAAGCAACTTCATTTATGGTCATTCTTATTTATTCGTACGTGTTTTCTCGTTTTAGACGAAAATATTAAAACATTAATAAACCGTGATTAATTTGATAGTACACATACTAGTTGAGCAACTATGTCATTATTGTGAAACTGGTCAACGGTCAAGTTCGTAGTTCGTAGATTGTAGACTTTACCTTGTCTAGATAAGGCCAAACTCCAGTCAGAACTATACTGAATCCCAAAGACATTTGGAACATAGTGAAATATATGATGTAGACGCTACGCCAACGCTCGCGGCTCTCCTGAGCGGTCTCCAAGGCATTCCCCCCTTCCATCGGTCTCTCCTGACCTCTCCCGGAGGCGCCCTTCAAGCAATCCATTCAACCGGTCGCGTCACACTGTTTATTTTTATTTATAGCGAGACATTGTGTGCATATGTGAATGGAACGCACGATCGCGGTAGTAAACAAAGAGCGCGCGCGTTGATAAGACCGCGGGGCGTGCGCGCGCGCATCAGGGCCACAGTGCGCCGCGCGACTGGCGAGCATTGGCTAACCGAAAGCCAGAAAACACTACATTCTCGTGCAGTTACAAAATACATTCCATTAGAGAATGTAGAGAATACATTCCTAGAAGAGATTAAGAATTTTTTATGCAGTAGGAGTGGGATCAGTTAAAATTGTGGTGTCAACTTTGTGTTCTTTACCACTGTAGATGACGTAACATAAGAATAAATAACAACAACAAACATAAACAGACAAGCCTATCGATTGACTATTAGACAATATAGAAAAGTTCATTTTTTACATTCACTAAACCGGGAATCAAACCTGGGTTGTCAAAGATAGCGACACCTTAAAGTCGTGTTAGCGTCTCGGTCCCGAATATTTGATATCAATTCGAAAAATAGCTTGGTACTAAAAAAAAATCTAATAAACCTAAATTAGGAAGTTTTGCTTATAGGTATAACACTGAAAACTGGTAAATTTGGTCTTCTTGTGTGATTTGATTACACCGCCATTCAACTTGCGAAATTCTCAAACTATATACGTAAAAATATTTAACTTTTTTTTATAACTTTTTTTAACTTTTTTTTATAATCAAGAATGCGCAATGTTGTAGATCTGTTCACTCACACACTATGTTTTGAGATTAAATTTTATATAAAAAAGGGTTTTACTGTTTTCATTATTTTTCCTTTGAAATATGCAATGGTTACCTAATATTAGCGTTAAAATCTTTAATTATGTGAAATACAATTGTCTTTAGGTACCTCTCGGTCAATTTTTAACGGTATTTATTTACCAATAAAATTTTGAGTATACATATATCGTATGCTGAGAACGATAGTGACACAATGCAAAAAATTCGATTTTCACAACGCCACCTAGCAGTTTCTATGCAAACTACGTTCACAGGGATCTTTGCTTTTAAAGTTCATAACAAAGAAAAATTTTAGGTTTTGGTTAGTGATATTATCATTCTCAACGTGCGATATGTAGTCGTTATATGTTTCTAGTGCATGCAAGAAAACGTAGTAATATTTTATATTTTTTTATTTTTTGACTAATAAGATTTAAATGTAAACGGCAGAGGACGCTCGGGGGACATGCGTGACAATATTTTCGGGGTAAATTAAACTAAAAATTATTGAAAAAAAAAAAAATCGTATTTGTGTATGATGTTTTTATATATTCAAACAGACAAATAAATGAAACACAAAAATTACCTTTGTTATCAATTATTATTTTACAATATTTACCCTTTGTTTCAAAAGACTAATTTACCCACAAATGACGTCATACACTCCTATTGGTGTTTCGTTGAAAGAGCAACACAGACCAATAATTGAATAATAAAAATTATAATATGGCAGGCACTACTGAAAAAAAAATATTTATATTTTTAAAATTAAAAATATCGATTGATATAACTAGAAAGTGATCCATGAATTATATGACTCGTTCACGAATTTCCATTCATTACTTTTTACTTTACCTTATATGTGGTTAGATAATTATAACGATTAACTTAAACATTTTCGTGGGTAGAAAAACATATGATAAAGTTTGTATGTTTGATAAAATTTAACTTTTTTTTGTAAAATTCTAAATTCCACGTCTTGTTAAGCATTTTCATTAAAAATGTAATAAAAACAACCTAATAAAGATATTAAATAACTCTAGTAAACCGATTTGCCGTTAAAATCGATTTGGAAAATAAGTTGATTCTAATAATGTCGTACGAAAAAAAGTAAACTAAATAGCAAGTCAGTTTATATACATCTGCCAAAAAACCCGAGCGATTGGGCTACACATTACTCTTAGAACTAATTTGAATAAATTAGGTACGAACCGGCTTTAATTTAACATTAGCAAAGCACAATCGCACAACCACAAATACAATAAAGAAAGAAAACCAGCCCGAATTAATAACCACATGTTAGATTATTCCGGAAAAAGAAGTATTAGTCTATTCAACCTGATAATGCAGGTGCTTACTAAAGTAATGAGGAAAATAAGACATAAAAAAAAAGTAGTAAACATCGATTTTCGATTCGATACGATCTTGAAATTGATATGGGTGGCAAAAAACCGATATAAATATTGAACTAAGGATTCGATAAACGATTTGAGAGAAAATTCTGAATCCCTATTTTCATTGTCGCACAACACTAGTTGACACAAATTTTCCGTGTTTTTAGCGACGGGAAATAATTGGCAAATTGATTCAATTTGCTTTGTGAAATTTACAATTATCTAATTTTATTAGAAGAAACTATTTGAAAATGTTTGCATCTCGACAAATAGTTTCACGCTTCATGCAACAAACAGGTAAAATTTATTTTGCTATTCTATAAGAAGAAAAAAAGTAATTTGACCGATAGATCGTCATTTAATAAATTAATTTCAGTTGTAAATGACCTCTTAATAAGTAGATCCTTTTTTGTTCCTGTTACATATTCGCTATTAATGGTTACTAAGTTATTGATTGATGTTACATAATAGATGTAGAAATAACCTAACATCTTTGGAAACATGAACTTTAATATTAATTTAACATCTGTTAAAGTACCTAGTAGTACATTTCTAATCTTAATCTTATTTAGATATCCTTTGAACAATTGATTATATTAATTTGAACATTAAATATAACAATGTCTGGTCACATTCATAAAAAGGACCAAAATTTTTATGCCCATTTTACCTATATAAGATATCAAACGTAAAATTTTCTTATTTTGTTTCACATCAAAAAGCTACATAATGTCCCTTAATGTAACTAAACTTGTTATTATACTTATCTAATCTAAATTAACTTGAATATTGATTCTTGATATCTGGTTACCTTGCAATCATAAATTTAGGTTGTACTGCCTTATCTTTCTTATATCCCTGTTTTAACAGGGGGGGAAGGTCTAAAAGCAATACCAAGTTTCTGCCCTGGTTAAAAAAGTTGTAGGTCCAGGCCAGATGCCGCCCTGGGCCCCCAACCCAAAGCCAAATTACTTAAAAAAATATATTTCTAGTTGTTTTTATAACTGCTACTAAATATTTACAGAACTTAAAAAATTTGCATCTGGTTAAGTCATCACCATAATTTCCTTATTGTGATCAGAATAAACTGGGAATCCCTGCTTTAGACTAGAAGAATCCAATCTAGATTGCAACAGCTTTTGCATATACTAACATTAATAAATGTGAATACAGATGTCCCATTCAATTTCAGCTCACAGTTTTTTATTTATTTTTTAATAAATATATTTAATAATAATAAGTAATAATATATATTATGTACTGACATAATTATCATATTGTATCATTTGATATAGTATTTGGAATTAAACAATAACATTAACAGAAACTGGATCACTCTTGTTATGCCAATTGTAATTTTTTCCTAATTTAATTTGCAGCACGTCGTTACCATGCGGGTGAGGGCTTCAAACCGCCAACTATGGATGACCTGCCAGTTCCACGTGGCTCATGGCAAGCAAATTATGATGCACGCCAACGTAAATACAATGCAGCGCTGATACTAGGCATTGGTTTCTCAATTGCGTCAGTAGCTGTTGTAAGTTATCTATCTACCTCCCAACACTCATTCCACTACTGGACATATAACAGACAAGTTACGATTCCATTGTTATTATTCTACAATGTGTTTGCAAACAGTCAACTGTATGATAATTTGTGACGCCAATTGAATTCATAGTAATCTAAAAACATAGTATATTGTGCTTTTGGAGTATGTATACACTAATAGATGATTTTTCTAATATTGTAGTGGAAAGTGACTTCATATTTTAATGAAGTTATTTTTCAATCTTGACGCTCTTTATGAAATAAAACAGAGAAAAAAGCAGCCCTTGCCAGTTCTCGGTACAAGGTCTTCCGCCGTAGATTAACGAACCGATGGCGTAGCTCTCGACTTTCACAAGTGCTTGTAACAGCCTAGACTGAATAAATAATTTTATTTTTTTTTGTATTGTTTAGAGTATTTATTAAAGAATCTCAATTTTATGTTACAGGCTAAAGCAAGTGGACTACTGTACCTGAACTTCTCACCCCCCAAATCCTTGGACTAAGCGCCACCTAAATGCAATATTACAGCTTTCAGAAACTCGCATCATTCACAGACACGAAAGTAAGGGAAGCTTAAATAAATCAATAAATTATAATGTATGTAATTATAGGCTGTTTAAATAAATAGAATTGAGATAATTTGTTGTATTAATTTGTTCCATCACATAAGGAACTGGTTAGTCCTTTTCACTTGTTCTTCTTGTCAGCTAATAGACGTTCTGAATGGGGAAAATTTTGGACTATTCAAAAGTGCTTGTAATAAGCTAACTTGAATAAAAACATTTTTCATTTTCGTTCATTCTAGTTCTAAAAGCTTTCACAAAATTGACATGATACAATTTTAAATTAAATAATGCTGAGTGATATAATCAACTTATTATAATCCATAAATAAGAGTTGAATTAAAGAAAAAACCTGTAGAAACATTATATTTGTAATAAATTAACAATATTTACATATTGATAAATACACATTTTCTCATATACAATAAAATCTCATGATTATCGATAATTTGATATTATCATATTCTAAAATTGCAACAAAATCAAGCAGTAATTCGTCTTTACCGAGTTAAAAACTGCCGCAAAACCTTTTCAAATTATAAACAGCGCCATCTATCGAGATAAGTATAAAGTATTCATGGTGTGACGATATATCGAGTTGATCAATGTTCACGAGCGATGTCCGAGAATGCGTCGAGTATGTCCTGCGTAGTGAGGGGCATTGAGAGTCCTGCTCCCGGGTAACAAGCGGCTATCCGTGCCTGTAAGGAAAATTACATCGAATCAGTCCCTTATCTAAACTTCTAACCAGCATGTATATGTTGAGGTTATATAATAAAGGAATAACGCTATTATCAGAATGAAACGTGTTGGATTTTTTTTTTGTGTATATGTTATATTAGTATTATATGATCATATAAAACTACTACTAGATTTGTTTATCATCAAACATAATATATATTTTCCTTTATATATTCTTCATAAATTTGATATCCACGCGACAAACATTTCAATAAATATGATTACTGGTTGCGACATTATATGAATCCAGGGGCGTCGCCAGCTGATGGCCCAGAGATGGGGGGGGGGGGGGGCAAGTTGATCATAGACAATATGTAGCTAAAGTCGAGAGCACACGAAGCTTTCTACTTGTAGTACGACTTCACATCTAAGGAAATTGCAATATAAATATATAATAAAAAACGTTTGAGGTTTGAGTATACATCTCTCCCCTTCTCCCGCTTTAACTAAATTCATTAAAGGTTTCGACGTACGAAAATGATCAATCGAGCAATGAAGTCAGACTTCGGACTTCAGTCGCTTTACATTTATTTACTCGACCAATGTCTAAACAATGTGTAAGGTTAAGTTTATTAAAATGTGACGTCACAGTTTACCCCGTCATGGCCGCCCATGATCGTTATCAACAGATTATTATAAATCGCAAATTAATTTTGCAATAACAAAATGAAAATTTATTTTAAAGCAAAAAATACTGCATGTTTAAATATAAATTACCAATAAATTCTAATAATAATGTGATACCTGCAGCTGCAGATGCTGCGCGAGGAATTCCTCCTGCATCGCGCGCCACACCACTTGTAACAGTCCACCCTCCTCACTCAAATGCTTCTCTACAGTTTTGTATAAACGATGTAGAGATTTACGCACTGTAACAGAGTTTAGATTATTTAGAAAATTATAGTCCGTTTCACGTAGCACGGGTACGGTGACGTTTGTAAACAAATCCATTTCACGCAATTTGTATTTCCAAAAAAGTAGTTTGCTTTTTTAAAAGTTTGTAAACGAATAATTTTTTTATAATAATAATTACTGAAATGTAACTTTTTATAGTTAAAACATTAATTCTTATTTCAAAAATTAGATAATTTTTTTTCAAAATGTATAATCAGTATCATTTGTCATTTTTTTATTATTGTTGTTGTCGTAACAAAGACGAAATATTAAAAAAAAACGAAATTACTAAATTAACACTTCCACTAGATGGTGACTAACAAAAGTCGATCTTTGCAGGAAACGAATGGACCAAAGACAGTCATTTCCATTCCTATCAACTAACATATTAAAAAACAGAAATTCGAAAAGTTCGAAACTTAGATATCAATGCAAATACGAAAAAGTATTTTAAATACTTCCTCGTTAAACTAACCTTTAATAAATTTGTATTTTTCCGACTCGGATTCACCATGTTGATAAATAAATATTTTTTCAATGCAGTTGCTCATAAAGCGCTATTATTTTAAAAATTGATGAAAGTATGTCAAACTTTAGAGGCAAAAGTATTTCAAGGAGCCTAGAACGAATATTTTCAAATAAAAATGTATGACACGAAAACATGTTCAAATATCATGTTTAATTTTAACAAATAATTTTTACCTTTAATACATACTTAGTTTTATTAACCTATATATTTGTTTTATTTCCTCACAAAAAGCATTGAAAATGTTGTAAGAAACTTGAGCGTAAAACCTTACTTTCCCGGCTGCATTTGCAGGACGTTTATACCCTGCAATCCGCATTGGGCCAGCGTGACCCAATGCGGATTGCAGGCCCATCTTCCTTAACCATCCATAAGGAAGGCCCGAGTCCCTGCAGTGGGGACGTAAAAGGGCTGAAGATGATGATGATGATGATGATGATGATGGTGATGATGATGATGATGATGATGATACCTTCGTGCGCGGGATAGAGCGCCAGCAGCCGCTTGAGCTCGTGCTTGCTGAGGTTGGCGCGGTAGCAGACCTCGTCCTCTCGCACGCCGCTCGCCACCGCCTCCGATACACTCTATACACATAATGCACTGCGGTTTAATACATATACATTGCTGCGTAGGGAACTGCGCGCCCTTCACAGGTACATATACTGCCCACACTGCCCACACTACCCGCGCTCACCCGTTCCGTGTGTCTCTTATTTCGAACTCATTTCATATTGTACGGTTATGCAACCGCACAATATAAGTGGCTCGAGTCAAAGTACGTATTTATGCGGATCAGCATTTTCCGCTATAATGTAATTTAATTGTTATTAGAGTTAGTTAAGCGTAAGCCACCAACTAACAAACATTTATAACTACTTTTTACTATTTTAAACATTTGTGAAATAACAGTGACGTCGTTTACCTCGAACAACAAACTTTCCATAGATGTAGGACAAAACCCTACACATATGTTTTTTTGGACGTCGAACGAAGACAAATTGAATAGTAAATGATGGTTATTAAAGCAACTTTTTAATTCCCTCTGCAAACTTTCACTCCCATTTTTATCCCTTCTTTATTTGTCGTTTGTGTAGATAAAATATAGTCCATGTTCACCGCGTATGATGTAGCTTCCAATAGGTGAATGAATTTTTATTTTAAAAGGGTAGGTAGGGTTCAGTACTTTCGGAGCATATTCGATGCAAACAAACAAACAAATCTTTCCTTATTTTATGACACTTTATTATATGAAATTAATTAGGGGCCGTCCATTAATCACGTGAGGCTCGAAAGGGGGGGAGGGATTCGTCAAAAATCGCGAAATATCACAAGGGGGTGGGGGGTTGTAGTAATATATCACGTGTATTTATTTTTTCCTCGACGTGCGAATATCAAACCGAAAAGCGAAGTCAATAATTAAGATTTTTGTTTTTTTTTTTAAATACACGTGATTTGGTTGAAGAAGGAAAGGGGTAGTCTTAAACCTCACCATGTATCATCAAGGGGGAGGGGGGGGGGTCAAAAATGTTGAAAAAAACATCACGTGATTAATGGACGGCCCCTTATTTGTCGATGAGCTTGTTTCCCTTGGCATCAAGTGACGAATGAATATGTTTATACTTTTTTCATATATTTTTTCTAATACTGTGATGGAAAGTGACCTCATATTTTTAATAAAGTCATATTTCAATCTTAAAGACCCTGTATGAATTCAAACAGGGAAAAAAAAGCCCGTGTCGAGTTTCTTGCCAGTACTTCTCAATACCCACCGTAGATTTAAAAACCGATGACCTAGATAGATAGACCTTTCGACTTTCACGAGTGCTTGTAACAGCTAAAACTTTTTTTTTTTTTTAATATTGCTATTTGCGATCGGTCGCAAGACCATAAGCGAATTTGTTGATGTAGATGGAGATTGGTTTAGTGAAGTGGTCAACACCGCTTCTACTAATTAAGTATGTGGTCTCTTTTCAACCTCTTCACCACTTTCGATGGGTCCAACAACTCTGCTATAAGAGGATTTGGGTGATTTTTTAGACGATCCTTGTGTCTTTTTCGATACAATTCGATTTCAGCGGCCACTGTTGGCATGTTCAAATATGCATGGATTTCATCGTTCTTGGTAAACCAGGGAGCATTTACAATATCCCTCAGTATGCTGTTTTGTACTCGTTGGAGACATAGGACATTCGACTTGCAAGCCACACTCCATATTTGAATCCCATATGTCCAGATCGGTTTTAAAACTGAATTATATATCAGCAGCTTGTTGTCGACGGACAGTACTGAGTTCCTTCCCATCAGCCAGAGTAAGCTTCGATACTTTGTGTTAATTTCGTTCCTTTTATTCTTTATGTGATTCTTCCAGGTCAAACGTCGGTCAAGGTGGAATCCTAAGTATTTCACGTTATCAGAATGTGGTAGGATATCATTTCCAAGTTTGACTGGGGCGCAATTGCCTTTCCTCAAAGCGAATGTGACATGTTGAGACTTACTAGCACTTGCGCGTATCCGCCATTTAGAAAGCCACCTATGTGTCGCATCAAGCTGCTTTTGCAAGTTATAGCTGGCTACCCCAGGGTCAGTGTCGGTTGATAAGAAGGCAGTGTCGTCAGCGTAGGTTGCAACAGTGATGTTATTCAATACCGGTAGGTCATGGGTAAATATAGTATATAGTACTGGTCCAAGGACCGACCCTTGAGGAACACCAGCCTCGATTTTGTAAAGGCTTGACCTAGCTTCGCCTTGTTTGACCTGATATGAGCGCCCTGTTATGTACGATTTAATGAGAAGGAATATTGAGTGTGGCAAGTTATTCTTTACTTTGGCCAAGAGTCCCTTGTGCCAAACTCTATCAAAAGCCTGCTGTACGTCCAGAAAAGCCGCCGAGCAATAAAGCTTATTTTCGAAACCTTGTCGTATAGTGTGATAAATTCTGTGGACTTGTTCGATCGTTGAGTGTGCCTTTCTGAAGCCAAACTGATGAACTGGAGTAACACTACATTCATTCATGGCCGGTAGAAGTCGCGAAAGGAATGTTCTTTCCCAAAGTTTTGAAAGCACAGGCGTCAAACTTATAGGCCTATATGACGACGTTTCATGAAAACTGAATAAAAAAAATTGATTTGATTTGATATATCTACGTTCAGGATTACAATAGGGTAGTGTCTGTAGTGGAAAATAAAAGACACGAAGTTGCATCGTAATAAACAGAGATACCGATTTTGAATCTTAAAGTTGCACGATTATTTTAAATCGGGGATTTTTAGTCTGTGCGTCACGTGACTTGAAACACGAACCGCCACTGTGTGACATACCATCACTATGCCGATAACTGTCAAATTACATAAAGGTATGCCTAATAATTATAAATCAAATTCCTAGATGGCGACGCTCCTAGCTTATTTATATATTTCTGTTTCGAGATCGACCATTAGGCGGCACTGCTTCTCTTTTACTGACATCTATGAATCTTCTTCTCTATGCACGCGTTTTGTGTAGACATCTATATAGAATATGACGAACAGCGTTTATAAGGGGCCATCCATAAATTACGTCACACGTTAAGGGGGAGAGAGGGCGGTCGACAAAGTGTGACATTGTGTGACAAGGGGGTGGGAGGGTCCTAAATTTCGTGTCGTCACATTCCAAAATCTATTATAATCTAAGTATTAAAACACGAACTTTAAACTATTACATTACAAAAACCTTGCAAAATATGTGACATCACGCCAGGAGAGGGGAGTCTTACAAATGTGACCAGCTGTGACTAGGACGGAGGGAGGGGCAAAAAACTCATGAAAAGGCCGGTTTATTCTTAAATAAACGCAAGTGTTATCCTATCCAGGGTTGCAGGGGTGCGTACCTCGAAGAACTGCGTGAGCTTCTCTAGCGGGCGGCCGAAGTACTGCGTGACGTACGCGCGCAAGGCGGCCGCGTACCGCGCGCGGCACTCGCGCCGGGCCGCCTCCAGCGCGCCCACGCGCAGCGCGCTCAGCACGCCGTGCAGACGGTGGTAGTTCTCTAGGGCAACAGTCAGGCGTTACGGCTAATCATATATGTCGCATCATCTTTACGAAGATCTTAAAATGTAGGAATTAAGAGTCACAGTTGATTGGAGTATTTAATATATTTCACGTTGTAAATATATAAAAGTCAGACGAGAGTAAAGAAGAGAGTGACATAAAAACAATAAACAGTGTATAAAATACTAATTCAAAAAGGTATACGAAAAGATGCCAGTGTCTGATTAATATAGAAAAAGGTTTTATCTACAGAACATCGTTTGATTTAGTTTCTTTTATTTTAATTGCTAGTAACTCGATTGTAGAGAGAGCGTGATCATCGATACTTTTAATTTTATTAGAACGGTGACCCTGACTTTGACAGTTCGTTAACGAAAACCAAATTGCCGCCATTTTCGCAGACATTCTGTTTCCGAACGTTTCCGAAATTCTGTTTTCCTGAGGTGTAAAGACATCCGACGACATCACGCTCATCTCGTTATATTTTCGTATGAAAAGTGATAAAATGGAACAAATCCACGTTGGTATACACGCCTGCAGTGTTATTTTAAAGATAGTCCTTCGATATGGACGATCTATTTGGGCTTCGTAATAGGCCCTTCTGATTACTCGCCGACGTATGTATAACGTTCGAGCACTATTACAAATCACGTGATTTGGATGGAATGCACTAGTATGCAAATAATTCACGTTCGATTAATGTTTTCCTTAGCAGTTACTTATCGCGTACCCTAATATCCCCCTCTTAGATTTAAGTTGTATATAAGACGGAGATTGTTTAGTTAAATAGAGATCTACAACCTGGAACATGGTATCATATCTTGCTACCGCGTTGACGCTATTTCACTTGGCTCCGCGACACGATATAGAAGTAAATGACAAAACTTGTTTTGTATAAGTCAAAACATTCTATTGAATCGTATTTATATTTATTTAATAAGCTGTAGTCAATATTTTTAAACTTTAAATTCATATTTCAATTTATTAATATTGTTGATACTTTAAGGAGAATATTTACAAATAAAATAAAGACACTACAACAGAGATATACAGAAACAGAGAGACACTATACAAATATAATAATGATCCCAGATAAAATAAAAACAAATATTCATTATTTAAAGAATAATTTCCTAGAGATTATTCAGTTTTTAACAATCAACTATTTGAATTAATTTAATCTTTAGACCTGCCCCTGAAAGATTTGCGCAAACAGAAACTTGTAGATGATGATTGGATAATGCCACTTGAATATATGCCATGTATTGATTTAATGTAATTTTTTTGAAATCACGTTTATATAATTAGTATTTCATATGGATCACTCTGGCTAAAATAAAGATTTTATATTTTATATTAAATAAATTATATCGTATATATCTTAATTTGTCCATTTTTGTGATGTTACATAAAAATTATCGAGACTCATTCCATCCTCTCAATAAGGAAAAAAGTCCAAGTCGACCTTTGCCTCCTTCAATCTTCTTACATATTAAATAGATAACACTTCAACTTTTCAATAGTATCCCTTCTTACATCGAGAAATCAGTATTATTTGTGCACGTTTTTTTTCTACATAAAACCGAAAGAACAGTACTGAATTTTTACTTCAAAATATATGTAATATTGAATAACCAGAAACCTAAATCCCAACCGAGGTGTCCCTAAAGGATCACTCTCGGGACCGCTACTGTTCTCATAAATTTAAAAAACTTAAAGTTCCAAAAATGTTCCTCACCCATCTGCACGACGGCCCTTGGCGTGCGCGGATGGTCGGCGTTCTGCACCGCGCGCAGCATCGCGGTCGCCAGCGACAGGTACCAGCGCTCCAGGTCGGCGCGCCTGCCGCCCGCGAATATCGCCTCGCACGCGGCGGACAGCTCCTCGAACTCGCGCAAGAAACCGAGCAGGCCACACTTGGGTTTCTTGGCCGCGTGCTTTGCCGCGTCGGGCAGGGCCGCGAGGCGCGCGCTGATGGCGCGGTCTGCCGCCCGTTTTGCCGCGACGGCCGCGGAGGCCAATGCCGCCCGCGACCAGCGGCACTCCGCCCCGCCCTCCGCGCCGAGTACCCGCCGCCCCACGCACGCCAGAGCCCGCATGGCCCCGCTGCTCATCGGCAAATTAATATACGTGGAAATACAGTATCCGTGTGGTGGATACATAGGGTCTAGCTGAAAATCGGCGTCGGTCTATTTCTGACAAATACACAGACCAAGAAATGCGAAGCTAGTTTACCTTTTTGGTGCAGTCGTAGGACACAATATCTTATGTTTATTCTAATATGTAGTAATGTGATTAATTAATATAGTTAAGTATCCTATGTGCATGCGCCGAAATACAGCTCATATTTGGAAGTGATAAAATAAATAAAATTTACTCATCATCATCAGCCCTGCTATGTCCCCCTGCAAGGCTCAGACCTTCCTTATGGATGGTTAAGGAGGATGGAATGTAATCCTCGTCGCTGGTGTAGCTCGAGAAATTTTTTTTTTGTCGAAAATCCCGTGACAGACCCTCGCGAAAGTTGCTTAAAAAAACGTTCTCGTACCGCGGCACTAATCCACTACGCCACCGAGCTAGTCTAATATTAAATTATATTAATAGCACTAAAATTTATTACCTGAATACAGAAGGAATCGGTGAAATACTAGCATGAAATATTATTTATCTTTTCGGGCAAGATTTGTAGCTGGAAGATTCATAAAATGTTTTAAACCTTTAGGATTTATTGTTCATTAAACGATCCTCCTATACTTTATAATATGTATGGAATAAGCTGATATGTATAATACGCTGTTTGCGGAAGGCGCAGGACCGATCATGTTGGAAATCTTTGGCGGAGGCTTATGCCCAGCAGTGGGCGTCTCTCGGTTGATATGATGATGATGATGATGATGTATGGAAACGATAAAGAAAAAACCCTTGCATATGTATCAGTGGCAAAGATAAAGTATAAGTAGTAAATTTGTAAACATTCGAACTAGGAAAACCAGACACATTTTACTTATATCTTGACTATCTAAAAACTCACTAAGCATCGTGCTTCTCGACGTGCGAGACCAGCGCGACCAGTTCCTGTTCCAGCGCGGGGAACAGTTCCGCCATGAACCGCCGCGTCTCCGCGCCGGCTCGCTTCTCGCGCTCGCCGCCGTCGCTTCGTTCGCTGCGCTCGCCGTCGCTGCCGTCGCTCTGTACCACGATGTCACACATCATACAAATGTATTTAAAACTTTCCGAAACTGTAGTGTAACACATACCTTTACATCTACATCCAAGAAGAAGAATTGAGTGCAGAACTCCTGCTCCGCATCGCAGAGCGTTTCGACTAGAGTGAGAACCTGCAAAAATCACCACTTTAAACATTTCGGAAGCTTTTAAAATTGAATACATCTACGATCATCCTCATCCGAAACCGTCCACATCGCTCACGCCGAAAAAACTCGACAGCGGTATCGATAAATTATAAAATATGTCGGAAACGATCACTACATATATAAAAATTTTTGTTTTAAAAATATCAAAAGGAAATTTTCATTTTGCAAAATAAACCTGCGATCTACGTGTGGAATATGAGAATCGAAACGCCGTCGGCCCCGCCGGGGCATCGGACGACTCACATTTCAAAAAAATAAACGGCTCGAAACGTTACGACTGATCGTTTTCGCGAGACGATTCAAATGAACGGGGACAGCTCACGTCGTCGAGCAGCGGGTCGGCGCGTTCGGGCGGCGCGTGCGCGAGCGCGGTGCGGGCGCCCTCGCACGCCGCGTGCACCTCGCGCTCGTACACGCGCGCCCACGCGCCCGCGTACACGCGCGCCAGCGCCTCGAACGCGCGCCCGTCCATGGTCTTCAGCCAGCGCATCAGCGGCGCGTACGGCAGCAGCTCGCGGTGGTGCCGCCGCGGCCGCGCCTCCGTGGCCGCCTCGTTGCCGAGGTGGATCAGCGCGTTGTTGAGGTGCCGCGCCAGCGCCCCCGCCAGTTGGTCGCGCGCGCGCGTCAGCCGCTTCAGCCTCTCGCGCGTCGCCCCCAGCCGGCGGCGGGCGGCGGGCGCGGCGCTCTCCGCCCGCAGCGCGGCCCGCAGCGCCTCCGCCGCCGCGCGGGCCCGCGCCCGGCCCTCGGCGGTGGCGAGCGACGCCTCCGCGAGGAAGTCGAGGTCCCGCAGCGGCGGCGCGTCGAGCCACGCGTACAGCTCCTCCAGCTCGCGCAGCAGCGCGCGCGCGTTGGCGTCGGTGCGCGCGGCCCCGAAGCGCGCGTGCGCGGCGTCGGGCGCGGCCCGCAGCACGGCCTCCGCGCGCGCGCGCCGCTCGGCCAGCGCGGCGCCGGCCCGCAGCCCCGCGTCGAGGCGCTCGGCCAGGCGGGCGCCGGCGCCCCCGCCCTCGCCGGCGGCGGCGAGCATGCCCCCCACGTTGAGGGCGTCGAGCCTCGCGACGCGCTCGCCGAGCCGCCGCACCCGCCCCTCCGCGTCCGCCGTCGGCTCCCCGTCCTCGAGGAGCGCGCCCAGCGCGGCGTCCGACGGTGTCGCGTCGTCGTCGCCCTGTCGAGGGTTCGTTGCGATGACGAAAAAGTCGTTCCCGGGGGAAATTTAGACTGTCCGAACTGCTTCTCTCCAAATTTAATCCATCTATAGTACTCCCGTTATGAACGGGTGTCCTTTTTTAATTTGTTCATTTGAGAAGAGTGATCTTCAAAAATATTATAATAAAAATTCTTTCACCTCCATAGAGGTCTGCGGACGTGTAGACTATAATTTACACAGGGCGAAGGAATGATGGCTAGTAGTGATTGAAATAAATGGGCCTATAACATTATTAGTGCTATGTAAATTAAGTTGCTCATCAAAAGTTCTAGAGATATAATTTCAGTAACAATGTTTATTTAAGAAACTAGTTTGTTAATACATAATAAATGAATCCAGCTAGTGCTGTGTGATAATTTTTTTTATTAAATTCAGATGAATTGCGCCATCAAAATTATATTCCTACAAGGAAAAGCTTAAACTGATTGAAATTAAGCTTTCTATTTGAAATGACAATAAAAGTAGGGTGACGGCTGAAAATTAGATGATGGCTAAAAATTGGTGCTTCACCCAATCTTGGGTGATTTATGTGCACTGAGTCTTGACCCTTATCTTACTGCTGCACTGAACAACTGTTCTTTGTATTGAACAAGTTTGTGATGTAGTTGTGTGTTGTTGGCTAAATAAACTATTTAATTATCTATCTAATAAATATTTCAATTAAATAGTAGATCATAAATTCATTTTTATTCATTCATAAATCTTACTAGGAATTAACAATAAAATGCTATATAAATAAGTGAAACAACTTTTCAATTAATATGAACACGACTTTCCTAACACCATAGAAAATCTCAAATTAGACGAGTAATTTTATCAAGTCCCTGTTAGTTTTAATTACCAGTAGTATCCTCAGTAAGAGACGCATTAATTAGGCATTTTCCCTTTAATTAAACCAAGTGTTACATAAAACAGGCAATATGTACATTAATACCTTTAGTAATATTTTGTATTTATGAGGGCTACATTTACATTTAATTTCTAATTGAGAATTTTTTCTGCAGTTGCAAGCTTTCGTATAAATAAACAAAACAATATATTACATCTGAAAATAATAGTTCCTTTCCTTCCAGCTCTCTCTGCAAAACTAATGTTGGTTCTTGCTTCATTTTTGAACTTTCAAACAAACGCCCCTAATTAAATAATATTGTTATCGGGTGCTCAATATTTATAATATTTTCCTTTCATAGTAAATATTTTAGTATTGAACGATAACTTTAACTTTAGTGACTGGAATTTGCAAAGTTTTTAATATAGTTAATTTATTTATGTTCCACTTTGACAGCCGATTACAAATCAAATTGACATAATAGGTATGCACGAAATGTCGACCCCAAAAATATCGGTATACATCGATAACGAAAATATAGCATCAAAACAAACCCTAATATCAAAATGGAAGTCCAAAAGTTTTTAACGTCCGTTAAGAAAGCGTTTATATACAAAATTCACATTATTAAGTTACGCGTTGCTTTTTAATCGCACAGTGTTTTATTTTAGTTACACTATTTATAACTCGAGAAAGACTGAACCGTTATTTATGATATTTGTTTTTTTAGATTTGTCTTCTTCGTCGGGAATAAGATAATAAGTATATATTTTGTCAACAAAAAATAATTATAATAAAAGATTCAAAAAAATTGTGATAGCAGTGATTGGTGGTATTGCCTGCCGGAGTGAAATCAGCCCAGCAGCGGCACAAAGATTCTCATTTACTTCCAAAAACTACGCGAGTCGACTACCTTTATACAAAAATGTGCACAGAACACTTTTACTATGTGGATAAAGAACAAATGTAGGTTTTTGAGGGTAAAAAGTCGATTCGGTAAAATGCCTGCCAGTGAATTTTTTTTTAATATCGTCTCGACTCGTATATGTCTGACAGTCAGCTTTTTTCAGCATATCTATCTTTGCTCATCGCCATCTTTCATTCGTCTCATTTTTATTTTACATGTAAAAATTAATTAATTTACTTGACATTGGCAGAATTGTGCGAAATGCGCAGATAAGCCATTAATTAAAAAAGAAGAAGAAGACAGTCAGCTATTTCTAGTTGACATGAATGACAACGAAATGTCATTTGCAAAGAGCAATATATAGGGTCTCGCTTAACTTGCTCTTTGAGTAATTATAAATAACCTGAAATAACCTCAGTCACGTTTAACTAATTCTAAGATTTTACATAGGTTGGTGAAATAAATAATAATTTAAATATTTATATGATTAATAGTAGAGTGAAAAAAAATCATATAATAACTCTAATCTCTTAATATAATATTTAGAGGCCAGTATAAAACAACGAAGCGCTATGGCGAAACCTGCACCAAAAGGTGGGAAAACGAAGTCGAGTGAAGAAATATTTGCAGGATTCCAAACATTAAGAAGTGAACAAAGACAACTAGCTAATAAAATTTCAGAATTAGAAATGGATCTCAATGAACACAAGTTAGTATCAGATAATTTAACTTTAATGTTCACATTAATAGACTCTATTCAAATTTCTAAGAGTAATATAAATTTCATATTGCTTTATTACAGAATAGTTATAGATACACTTAAAGGTGTTGATGGATCTCGCAAATGCTTCCGAATGGTTGGAGGAGTACTGGTGGAACGGACAGTGGCCGATGTACTACCTGAACTGGAAATGAATAAGGAGAGGTTACCTAAAGCATTACAAGCATTACATGAGCAGTTGAGCCGCAAAGGACAAGAGATAAATGAATACATTGAACGCCATGACATTAGGGTTCAAAAAGCAGACCGTCCACCTGCTGATGACACACCTGATCAACCTACCAAATCCAATGTACTTGTTGCTAGTGGATGAGTCCTCAGTGTACAGAAATAAGCCCAGAGCTTGTATCTTTTTATTTATAACAACTAACATGATGGCTTAACAGATTGTTTCTAATATCAAATTGCTTTTCTCAAGTTACAGTTAGGAGTTTTATTTGACTTTACATTCAGCAACATCTAATTTAACTAAGAAGTTTAGTTTGTTTTTCAGTCATCCCTTTGAAAATGGGCAACAACTTGTTTAATCCATTTTAAAAATTAACTTACATGTTTAAGATGAGAGCACTTTAATAAAATATATTTAGATATTTATTTGTAAATTTTACTTTATAAAATATAATACTTTGCAGTGGTCAGTCTTATCTGTACAAGACTAGATTCAACAGCTGAACAGTACATTAACCTGATATATAGCTACCAGTGTACAGGGTTTGTAATTATGAAGATAATTATTTTTTTGGATAATTACCCAATAAATATCAGATAATAATCCATACTTACTGGCAATTTTTTTTTTTAAATACATTAAGGCATTCATAATTGAATGAACTTGCCAATTTAAGTTGTAAAAATATACAAACAAAATAACTGTCGAATCACATTGAACAAAAAGCAAAATGAAAATATAAATAAAATATTTTTTAATAAAAAGGGGATTTTTAATATCTTATTTAGTTGTTTTGTAGGTCTATTCTCGATAATTTTGTGTATTGGAAAAACCATATTTGATAATTGTATAAAGATGATTCTCCTCTAATTACAAGCCTTAAGGTACAAAAAGATATTGTGTAGCGTTTTGTAATTATGATAATTATCACTCTGTACCCTGACCTAAACCTACACTTACCTACTTCAATAGAAACCAGTTTAAAATATTATGAAGAAAACTATATCTGAAATAGTTTATTATATGTTAAATGGGTATATTTTTGATAAACAGAATATACCTTTTATAAATTACAAGAAACAATATCTGATTTGAAAACATATTGAGATCCTTGCTTTAAACAAGATAATGAAATAGAAATTAACTTGATCAAAGCTAGGATGATCAAGTTAATTTGAAACTTAATGAAAACAAGTAATAATCACAGGGCCTGTCTTGTTTACTAGTGGGAAGTCCAGTGGCGGATTCAGGAGGGAAGGCTTTGGGGGCGGTAAGCTCGGCCTCCAAATGACTGCAAGTTCCCTTTATCAAATCCTAAATTGGGGTTGGAAAACGTAGGTCCGGGCCTGATGCCGCCCCTGGCCCCCGGTGCGTAAGATCCGTCACCGGGAAAGTCTGATCTGTTAATTAAGAATAACACAATGTAACACATTCTTTTATTATTTTAATCTGTATTGTGTTGAAAAATATAAACTGAACTTAAATACCTAATTAGTGCTATTTTAGCAGTTGTCTTATTTTGAATTATGACACACACAGAACAATCTAAACAATTCGTTTTCGTTACAAATACAATTCTGATAAAAAATTGGGCACTATAAAATCAATCTTAAATTATTGTACATTGGCATACTGTAATTAATCAAGACTATTCAGATGTATGCCATTATAACCTTTACAGCCGAACTGACACCATGTGCACATGTCATAGCCCAAGCTCCATACAAAATCGTAACAACTCCTTTTACTTAAGATAGAGAAACCCTGTTATTTCATTACACTAATATATTTTTTTATAATAACAATATTTTATAACTTTCTGTACGACGTTCCTGAGACATATAACAGATAATCTTGCAATATCAAAAAAAGACACAAAATATTTTCTCAAACAATATTATGCAAAGAAACCAACCACTATATAAAATTATGAAGAATATAAAAATAATTTTGTTAATTTTATTTTAAATAAAACAATAACATCCATATTTATTTATAATTATATGTTTTGGGATTACAACATAATATAGTATTAATATCTTTTGATTCGTTTTTGTATTCTAAATACCTTTGGTTTAAAAGCTTTTAATAAACGTATTTTGAAAACTAAAATAAGCCAAATCCTTAGTTCAATGTATCAATAACGTTTCAAACGCTAAAATATAATAGATATTATAGATATCTGATACCACACGTCTCTAAAATTACAAAAGTTCCAATTGTACTTGAATATAGTTAAAAGAGTCAATTTCATTGATATGTTTATGAGAAATACTCACTTTTTTAATAAAAATCTATATAAAATTAAGTAATTAATATACATATGTATATCTACCTACAATATAATTAATAATGGAAGAACACTTAAGATAACAAGTTGCCTTATTATCACAGTTTAGTATCAACAATGTAAATGGCCGTTTGAAATAAACTATGCTTAGCAAGAAATCTAAGTTTAAACTTATTTTGCATGTTGATTTTATAAAGAATTTATTAAACTAAAGAAGTCCTCCCTTACTAAGAAAGCTTATTAAAACCGGCCTTTATAATACACCTACTTATATATTCAATGTTTAATTGTAATAACACAAAACATGCAAATGGTTTGTTCAAAATTCGAGATAGAATATTAAAAACATGCAGTATCGCATTGACTGAAAAAATGTTTGGCATTTTGAACGCAATCTTCAATAGATTACGGTTTAAAATTGATTGGCGAACATTTGGTAGTTTTGTATAACCAGATGTTGTGGACTGTAAATAAAATTTATTAAGAGTTCTTCAATAAAATAAATTTATATTTTTTTATATTAATTTTAATTTATATGTGTTTTATTATAAAATGCTAAATATGATATTCTATAAAAAGTTAAGCATCTACCCCAAAGGTTTTTGAGCGGTTAGTGCATCCGCAACACACATTACGGTCAGTTTTTCCTATTCTATTCATGGGAAAAATTTGTATTTTAGTAGAAGAACTTTAATAAGCACATTCTGTTAGTAATTATCATAGTAGCGAGCGCATATATACCTACACATGATATAAAGTTCTATAATTGAAATATTAACGATACCAAGTAACGCAAAAAATAATGGTTTCGTGTTGTTACAATTAGACGTCGAAATTTTCTCATAAATTTATTATGCGTGAATGCGCGCCATTTGCTTACAACGTAAGCGACATGGCCAACCTTACATGACTAACTAAACAGCCATCGTAACAACCATCAGTATATTCAATATAACATATCGACAGATATACATCACCCCGTATATGTGTTTGCACAAGTGCGCATATCTATAGGTACAACGTAAAGAATATTTCTTTACTAATATTAACAAAGCGGTTACGTAAGCAACGTAAATTTAACGGGGCCTATACTTTCTGTATAATTCAGACTAATTTACATGGACGATTAAAAAATGTAAGAAAAAACAGCGATCGGTCCTCTTTTGCCCCACCGCAAACTGCGGGACAAGCCTCCTTAAGTGCCGATGCCGATCGACGACTAAGGCGAAGTCATCAAAAGTGGGCAAAGTTCGTCGGCGCGTACGTTTCCGAATCGTCGTCGCGGGGGGCGGCGGCGGGGGCGCGCGGCTGTACGTCGGGGCGAGGCGGCGGGGGCGGCGGCGGGGGCCAGTCCCCCCTTGCGCCGCCCGCCTTCCGCACGAGGCGCAGGTCGGTGACGCGCATGCCGCGCTCCACGGACTTGCACATGTCGTACAGCGCGAGCGCGGCCACCGCGCACCCCGTGAGCGCCTCCATCTCCGCGCCGGTGCGCGCGCTCGCCCGCACCTCGCACGTGACGCGCACGCGCCCCCCGCCGCCCGCGTCCCCCGCGGGGGGCACCTCCACGCGCACGCGCACGCAGTCCAGCGGCAGCGGGTGGCAGAGGGGGATGAGGTCGGCGGTGCGCTTGGCGGCCATCGCGCCGGCCACCTGCGCGACGGACAGCGCGTCGCCCTTGGGCGAGCGGGCGTCGCGCAGGAGCCGCAGCAGTCTCGAGCCGACCACGAGGAAGCACTCCGCCGCGGCCGAGCGCGCCGTCACCGGCTTGTCGCCGACGTCGACCATGCGCGCGCGGCCGCTCGCGTCCAGATGTGAAAAGGGCCCCGCGTCCTCGTCCCCCTCCCCCGCCCCGGTGGAGTACCGCCGGGCCTGGGCCCGCGCGGGGGCCCGGCGGGCGAGCGGCGGCGGGCCGACGTCCGTTACCCGCCTATGAGCACCATCGGCCGGTTCTGCACGGTGGCGAGGTTCTGCATACCTATAGAAACGTCGAGAGGGCGAACGCGTTGCGGGACGACGACCCGAGAGGGGGGCGGCCCGCCGATCGAGTGAAACGAAAAAGAGCACACGATTTCGAGCTAATCAGCGTGCTTCCTCTTGAACGCGATCTTAATCGATCGGCCATTGCATTGTTGATTTGGTACACTAGCGCCGATCGACTCAAATGACCGACAATACTGACATATCGATCGACAATATTGACTTTCCCGATTGAACGATCGATATAGAGTTAGAATTTAGTATATGTTTCAAAAGTACGAAAGCTTTGATGAAAATTGAGATCGTCATTGGACTGGATTAAAATTGACATTTGAGAGGAAGCCTGCTGATATATCAGCCTGTAGATGACGGGTGATTCGTTACATATTGTACAGATGTCGGTAATTCGAGCAGCCTTTACCCCGGTATACTGTCGATATAAGTTACGCACGATTAGGCGTGGAAACTGACCGGCCGCCGGTATCTCGGGTCGTGTATCTATACGAGTGCCATAGAACAATAAAAGAAGTTAGAATAGCTATAATTGGTCTAGAAGACCGGTACAAATGGATACTTTATGCGTGGTCACTATACTGTATAGTTATTCAGTCCGAGATGTTACGATCGCTTATAAAATCGAAAAGCTAACGGCGATCGGTCCGCGAATCTACGGCGGGATACCTTGTAATGAAAAGAACCGGAAAGATGTAGGTAGTTTCACTCCGACATAGTTATAATTACACGTTCGTTGATGTCCTTGTGATATCTTTGTTCAAAACAAAAAGAGGCCTTTCGAACGTCTTTTATGCTCTATGGTGGATCCGCTCTCTATGTAAGTAAGCAAATGTAATGATTATTATTATAAAACGATAAGATCGTGTCAAACTCCCTGTTTGATTGCCTTCGACTTGTCGTAAACACCTGTAGCTTTTCCTTATTACCTACTCGATTGGCTTCCATTTTATTGGTTTGAATCATATGATCTCAACAATATCATTGGAGATAATGATACCACATAAGAGAGGTACAATGCAAAAGTTAAGTAACTTTCGCAAAAGCGGCTCATAGAACGGGTGAGCTAAAATTAGCCAGGGGTAAATAAATAAAAGTATTTTTAAATAATTTAATTCAATAAGTGTTAACGTTTGCATAACATATTTATAAAAATAAAAATCCGTCGAATAGTTTTATACTATGAGCGGCTTCGCTCGCGTGGTCCTCAGGGAAATGTTTAGTGTGATAAAAAGAATTATCTAAGATATACCCTATTTGTATATCAAATTTCATCAAAATCCGTTCAGTAGTTTTGGCGTGATTGACGGACAAATATCCAAACAAAGAAACTTTCATATTTATAATATCAATGGGATTAATAGAATTCGTAGATGTTGCAGTCAACTGGGTAAATCAGCCGATCAAATGGGTGGTTAGTCATTTCGTTCAAATCATTATGACATTTGAGTCGTTCAAAAGTCGGCTGATTTAAAAGCCACCAAAACGTTTATTTAGTTGGGTTATCTGTTAAAAAAAAAATCGAAATTTAAGACCGATCGAAAAGGAAATTTTAAATTTCTAATCTATCACGTGACCTACAGGACATTTTTTGTTATTAAATGTTATAGCACTAAACTTCTAAATGGCAATAAACATATTAAAACAATCACAGTCAAATTCATTAATCGCGTTAAATCCTGCCTATATCTTGCCTAAATATTTTTTCTATTTTCTATAATAATTATATAATTTATTGTATTGTACAATTAACAACCGGTCGAAAAAAAAAAAAACAAAACAGTTCGCTTATTTTCAGTCTGTATCTGTATTGATAACAGATCGGAACAAGGAGTTTTTGAATTTACTTTAAAATCACCCACTACACTATTTGATTCGTGTTACTTTTAATGTATCGACAGCCGCATAGAGAGCGGACCTTGTTGCGTGCACGTGTACGTATACGTACCGTCGTGCTGCGGGCGCTTGGCTTGCAACGCGGCCCGCACGAGGGCCCGCAGGCGCGCCTCGCCCGCGCCCGCGCGCATCGCGTCCCGCAGCGACACCTCCGCCGCGCCGAACAGGCACACCTGCCGGGCCCGCCCCCACACCCACGTTACATATATATCGCACACCTAGATCTAAACTGAGACAACTCGAAAACTAATTTGGAGGTCTGACAATACATTTGTTTACGTGGCAGGAGCGCGACCACTGTTGATTCAACAAAAAAAGAGCTAAAGTTATCTAGCGGCTCATCCCCGAACCTTTATTGAATCCGTTATGTTGGATAGATGCGTATGATCACCGAGTATTTGAATATAATACTAAGTCAAAACTCGCTCAAATTTTTGAGTTGGCCCATATTAGATCTAGGTGTACGATATAAGTGCACTCGAGACACGAGCGAGAGATAACAGCCTAAACACGTAGGGCTGCCGCTTATAGGTTATTCTATCGTCAGAAATGCGTGTCCAAAATATAGTTTCCCCCTAAAATATAGTATGGTAAACAGCCGGAAAATATAATACAACTTTTTAATGTTTTTTTTTTCTATATAGACCGGGAGTTCACTACAATGTTTTTCATACCTACGTCATGTCATCAATTTAGTCTTTTGTAAAATTAAAACGTGGTTTTAAAGAATGATGTATTCATTTTTTCCCAAATAATCAGGCTACGAACAAAATAAGATAATAACGATCTTACTTTTTAATAATCACGTGTTTCTATCAATGGCCCATTTTTTTTTACATTGTGTAATACGCAAATATACAATGGCGGTATTCAGGCATAGAGATTTAATAAATTAAACTACAAATCGATATCTGGTAAACGAAATCTTGAGCAGAAATATTTTATAAACCCTTTCGATGGGTAAATAGCTACACAAAATTATAATTACTTATGATATTATAATAAATTACCCGAATACCAAAAGAACGAATTACCATATACTTGATTTATAAAAATGTGAAATACCATATAATGGATTTATAAATGCACTAGTCTTCCGCCAGCGGCTTCTCGCGCGTGGTTTTTATTATACATAAAAACCTTCCTTTTAAATCACCCTGCCTATGAAAACCGCATCTAATATTGGTTCATGATGTAAATGAACCAATATTAACTATTTATACTTGTTATCTTTGATAAATTTTGCAGTCACAGTGCTACACTGAAAAATACTTAAGATATCCACTTTGTCCCTGACACTATGTATGTTCGCAATCCAGGCCCATGTTCTAACCACTGAGTTCCCCACGACCTACCATGCCCGACTTTTTCATTAAGAATATAATATTTACTTATTTCCCACTCGGTTATAGTTTCAAAGTTCTCCTTGTCTACCCTCTCCTTATATCACCGTCTTCGTTTCCTTTTTTTTTTTTTTTTCATTTTCAAAAAAAAAAAAAAGTTTCGTAACCATAACCATTAATTCACACAAACCTATGTCCATACCTTGATACTACCGTCGGCGGTGAGCCTCAGTCTATTGCACGTGTTGCAGAACGGTCTCGTCATGGACGCTATGAAGGCCACCGTCCCCTTGTGCCCGCGTACGTTCCAAACGCGCGCGGTATCGCTGGCGCGCACCTCGGCCGGCTCCACTTCGTAACGCTTCGCGATTTCCCGTAACGCGGTCCGGTATGGAACCAGCTTGCTGTCATCCCACGAATTCCCGGTGAACGGCATGAACTCTATGAACCTGCGGTACCGAAACCGACCCTTGTACAATCACGGTAAAAAAATTCCGAGTAATATGTGGACCGAATTACTCATTTAAACTATGTTGAAGCACAAATATAACAACATTGAATATGTTTGTATACAATGAGGAAGTATTAAAAAAAACAATTCCCGAAATCAAACTAGATATCGGTACGGTACGTTCTTGATTTCTCCATGACAACCCTTCCGGTTTTCTTTCATGTATAAAAGTAAATTAATTTTCAAAACTCATATTATACAGGGAGGAACAAAATGACCGACACAGCCGAAAGTTTCAAGTTGGGTTACATGCAAACGTTCATTTTATTTAACAAATATTTAAAAATAGAGGTGTAAAAATTTTTAATTTCTAAGTGTTGACAGCTCTTAAACGCGCATGCGCAATATCGATTGTGCGCAGATTACAACGGAACGCGAAATTCTTTTTAAATGCTATTTTAAAAACAAATTCCTCAATGTTTTTAAAACAAAGTTCATTTGTGTTAATGATGAATCGCTGGAAGATTTGTGAGTTTATCGAGTTTAATTAACGATCCCGTTGTTAAAGGAGTATTACCCCATTCAAACAATTTTTATGGAGAACTGCTCTTTTAAAATAACGTAGGTTCATGTTAGACTGATCTCTCTACAATAATTTAGGAAATTTTACACTCGGTTTCTTAATTGAGTATTTAAAGTTAAACGTCTCAAACTAATATCACTTAGATTTCGTTTCCGATTTTAGTTTTTTGATGATCAGTTGATAGCAGTTTGATAAAACTAAGACTATTTGACTTGTGAAATTAAAAAAAACTTAGGTTATTGAGAATAAGCAGTAGAAATTTTCTACTTTTTTCAAATCATAAACCGGCTGTTAGTCTGTAAATCGATTTAAGCATTTTGACTGCCTTGTTTATTGATTGACTGGTAGAATTTGCATGAAAGCAGTCTTATAAATCACAAACTAGTTTATTTAATTTTTAGTAATGAAGAAGTCAATGACCGATTAAAAACTTTTCCTTAGTACGTCCCAAAAACAGCTGACTCAGGGTTAAAAACACTCATTTTTTTTTTTAAAAACTTTGTAATTTAATATCTCCGAAACTATTTGACCTAGACTTATATTTTTTTTACATCATATTAAAGACAAATAGTACTTTCCAGGAACCTCGGAAGTGTCGGTCGTTCTGTTCCACCGAGTATATGTACTTTTTTGTATTTGTATTGATATCTAAATTTCGAACTTTACAAATTTCAGTTTTTTTATATGTAAGTTAAAAGGAACGGAAATGACTATCTTTGGTCCATTCGTTTCCTGCAAAAATCAATTTTTGCTAGATTCGCCATCTAGGTGCTTTTTAATGCTTTCGTTTTTTTTTAATACTTCCTTATTGACCACCTCGCGCGTAACGATTACCAGGGATTTCGTTGCTGTTGCTTAAAACTGTTGTTTGCTTAATATGGCTTTTTGCTTCTTTTTTCATTCTATTTAGACTCTCCTAGACTTGATAAATTTAGATTTAGACTTGATAAATTTCGGAAATTTATAAATTTTCGTAGGATTCTAAACGAGAGATAAATTGTATTATTTGACAACTCGCAAGTAACAAAAAATTTCTTATTTCAACTAAGCTATATGCGAAATAAGCGCTCTTTAGAGTTTGTGATCGTATAACACAGGAATTTGGACTCTGTGCGCATACTTGAGAGTATATTATATCTTAGCGCGTGGGTTAATTGTTTGATTAATTTTGCTTTATTACAGATCAATGGCAAATGTATCATATCAATGAGATTTATATTAGTAAATATTGAATTGTGTTTTATGTGATCCTTACCTTATTTCAATCTCGCGGTCGCGTGTCAACTCCACAAAGTCGCAGATTTCATCATCGTTGAATCCTAAAACAAAATAGGTGGGCCAGTTTATATTTAATAAGAATTGGGTTCTTATATTTACACATATGGCACATATGGCACATATGACGATTCACACGGCTAAAATAATAAACGAAATGGATTTCAATAAAGTATATTGATATTGGTGTCAATTTCGGCGCAATAAAAGAATATTCCCTGTAGTATATGAGTTACGAGACCATAATATTGAGATTTCAGTAAACAATAGTGTATTCGCTACATAATTTCAATCTAAAAACAATTTTTATCTTTAATTTGTAATGCATAAAACGCTTTCATAGAGCACGCTATCAACGCTATCATATATAATAAAGTAACCGTATTAAAAAAAAACTAATAACCTGTTGTAGAGTGACAATAGCTCAAACTTCAAGTTGTACGCACAATTTGCATATTATAACTGCCAAGTAGCAAATAACACGTTTTATATCTAAGTTGTTAGTGTAATTGCACCGCAACAGGAAGTGACTTCACAGCATAATAATGGAGTGATTACGGTACAGAAAAATAAGTCACGAAATTCGACAAAAACTAAAATGGACAGAGATATATATGATTTAACATCATATCGCATGATTTTATAAAGTCGAGTTTTTTTCTGTATAAAAATAATAATTACATCCTTTAATAACTCGGCGAGTGTCCATTATTATAGAAAACTAGCCAACTTCAAGCTAAGAAATAAAACGATAATAATAATAACACTTTATTGGCAAGCCACAGATATCTTCATAGACTTATGAAAACAAAACATACAATCTAGTGTAACAGATGGCGGTCTGATCGCATATCAGGTGACCTGAAGAAACACGACTCGTGGCGTCGTTTCATTTAAATTATAGCTGCCCATTTAATTTATACCAGATTCCTAGATTTAGATGATTAGATTTTAGCAAGATCGCCATTTAGACATTGATATGTGATAATCTTTTAAATAATATACTTTATGTGTCTGTTTTTGTAAAATGACGTCATGAAAATGGCGGACAGTCTTTTCGCGGTCATAAAAAAATTAGACTTCACTAATTAAAACAAAGAAAAGTGTTCCTTTGTTAAATGTTTTAACTTATTTATATTACACAATCTTATTTCAATTCATGTAACGCTCAAACTCGTTCATGTAACTGTCATCCTGTATAATAGGGATGATGACTGGGTAAAAAAAATGCAATTCTATTTAGTCCGTCAGTCAGATAATGGAAAAATATTAGATACGTATTTTTTTTTTATTTCAATTTAACAAGAAATAGCTTAGATAACAGGCATCAAAGTTGAGGAGTGGGGGCTCGCTACGTCACAGTTGAGTAGAAAACGTACTCTAACGTGACGTCATGCGAAATTTCAACTCAATGTAACGCCGTAATTTTATGATTACGAAAAAAATACGTGTTTAATATTTTTTAACACTCTACCTGACGGACAAACAAACAAAAATTAGTCATCATCCCTATTGTACAGGATTACAGTTACATGAATTGAAACAAGATTGTGAAGAATTGAAACAAGACAATTGTCCTCACCTTTCATAAGTACCACGTTGAGTTTCAGCGGCCGGTAGCCGAGCTGCAGCGCCAGATCAATGCCCGCCAGCACACGGCTCAAACCCTGACATGACGTCATCATCACTTAATAACACAGAACAATTATTAATTCAAGACACAGATGGTGCACTAGGCGAAAACATTTCAATATAAATTCTTATTCCTACACAATAAAGTGCAAATTCGCATCGCATACCGTTTCATGATATACTTAAAAAGTGCGTCACTTTCCATAGCCCAATTTTATGGTTGAATTCTATGTTTAAAAGGTTATGTTTACAGGGAAATATTAAAAACATATGTGAATATTTAATTACCAGATAGAGACATCAGTATGCCTATTACTTGAACAAGTCATTGTGGAACGCCAAATACAGTAAAGGTTTTTATGTTTGATAGAAATACATAAATAAATTAAGGACATCACATTCCGATTATTTATAAGTTAAGAAACAAGCCACATGGAAATTTGGTTTGTTTGGCAAGACCTGGGAATCGAACAGCGGGACCCAGTCCACAAGAAGTTAGAAAAGTGCAATAACGAAATGAAAATTCTAATGTTGCGGTGGTCGACAGAATATAAAACTCAGTAATGTTGCGGTGGTCGACAGAATATAAAACTCAGTAATGAGTCTTAAGATATTTAAGTGATTTTTAGTGCGAATATTGTGTACAAAAAAGGGAGAATAACTCTCTGTTGTTCTCAGTACAAAGTTCGAACGAACCGAAGACATAATGATCTACACCGAGAACTACTTATAAACAGCCTAGTATGTACATAAACGATGTTGATTGTGAAAGCTCGGAATATTTAGGTCAGTGGTCGTTACTTGATTGATTTGGAAAACTAATTTACTCCAAACCTAAAGAAAGGCTCGCATAACAAACATTACATCTAATTACAGATAAAGGTATTATTACAAAAGTGGTTATTATCGTTTTGCATTCATCAGTTTTTAAGTTGTTCTTGTTCTTTTATTAAATTTGGTCTCGATTATTATGTTCTTCTTTACCCCCACATAATATCAGATTTACCCCGCAGATTTAGCTCTTAGGTTATGAACCACTGACCTATAGGTTTACGTATTAGGAAAAGAGAGATTGACGATAAATATATAATTTTCGCTTACATAAAAAATGTGACCTCATAAAACTATTATTACAACATTTCAGACGAATACTTATGTGTTGTTTTGCAATATGAAAACAGCTGTAGTTCAATAGAAATCCAACCAATTTAATACAAGGCTACGGCCGTGCGATACAATAAGGTACTTTAATAAACGGAATTTGGTGTTTATAATGTATCAGTTTATAACATAATCGAGGAAATAATAATGAAGAAAGACAGCTAGTAGATATTTTGCTGGAATAACTTATTCCACAAGTACACAGGGAATACAAATTATTATTATTAGATTAGATTAAAATTTTACAATACCAGGTGCTTGATCAAATATAATAGGTGATTAGCTTTTCATATACGGATAATTAATATGATAGCAACTTATAAGTTTAGGGGTACATTGTTTCTTGTGACAACGCAAATCTAATAGAACATGACGTTGACGGTACGAAGTAACCAGTGACTTAACTACAGGGTGGCAAGTCGACAAAATGCTACGGGCCCCCAGCTAGAAGAGGCCCCCGGTCAGAGGAGACTCCTGACATTTATTATTACACAATTTGTAAAAAAAAAAATAGAATATCCTATGAATTTTTCACGGGCCTCAAATGGTATAGTTACGCCACTGGACGTAACTGCATATTTTTTAATATACGGGAGAGTATCTAATAGTTATTTATATATTGAATACCAGCTCCTTCCGTTCCGGTGATTTTAGAGCCCATTCAAAACAATCAAATCTTGCTCCTTAATAATATTATAAATGTATACTAGCTGACCAGGCGAAATACGTACTTTCATTAAAAAAAAAACGGTCGGAACTGGTATTGGGAAGTTATGCGCGTACATACGTTTCGGCGATTCATTTTTATTCATCGATATTTAAAACGGCATTACGATATCATTTCAACATTATTGGTCAATCTCACCGGTCTCCTGGCCATCCGCTCGTATCTGTCCGCGCGCAGCGAGTCCAGCGAGACGTTGAGCGCGCTGAGGCCGGCGCGCTGCAGCGCGGGCAGCCGCCGCGTCAGCACCAGACCGTTGGTGGTCAGCCCCACCGTGCGCACGCCCAGATCTGACACTTCCTCTACAACACGTGATATCATATAAACACTCACGGTTTGATATGATACAAATACCTAATACTGGCACTTTACAAATAGTGTTTTAAACAACTTTTAAAAGGTTCCATCGCGTTCGGATTTAGTTTTATTGACGTTTCGGACCCTTTACGAGTTAGTTGTCTTTTTAATTAAAAAGTATAGCTACCTTCAAACCAATACCTACTATTGGAGACATTCACGATACAAGAAAATTATATTTTATGGCAATGTTTACATTATTTTATTTAATTAAATCAAATTATTTTAAAAATACATTTGACCGTAAAATACCACCAGTTCCAACTTTGAAAGTCTTGTCTGAGAAGAACTGCCGAAACAAACTCTGACAAGATAAGTGAATAGGGATGATGACTAATTTTTGTTTGTTTGTCCGTCAGGTAGAGTGTTAAAAAATATTAAACACGTATTTTTAAATTTTTTTCGTAATCATAAAATTACGGCGTTACATTGAGTTGAAATTTCGCATGACGTCACGTTAAAGTACGTTTTCTACTCAACTGTGACGTAGCGAGCCCCCACTCTTCAACTTTAATGCCTGTTATCTAAGCTATTTCTTGTTAAATTGAAGTAAAAAAAAATACGTATCTAATATTTTTGTATTATATGACTGACGGACTAAATAGAATTGCATTTTTTTTACCCAGTCATCATCCCTATTGCTCCCTTTCATTTAATACTTACAGAATGAACTAACCGTATCTTTTGCTTTTACAGTGTGTGATCTGGACTAATAACTATAGATTCCAAGCCGCTAGTATATGCCAACCCTCATCTCTATTAAAATTCGAACATTTATTAGTTTCAATACCCTCGCGTATCATTCTAGGGATGTTTTTTTGTTCAACCGCAAGTATTTTTGGGTTGTCAAATCTTAGTAATGCTTGGGTCGTCCTAGCGCTCTTTTGAATTCTTTTAGTTAATATTTTAAAACTCATTCCCTTCACAACACATAATTATGTTAAGGAAATTTAAGCTAAAAAGAATATAAAAACAAATTAAAATCATCCAGACGAATAGGTCACATAAGTCTAATTAAAAAATAGTTAAATATATTTTATTTCTATCATTATTGCTTTACAATAAAGTCTATCTAAATATGTTCCAACATTATTTCTATTTCGTTATAAATATTAAAAAATACAAAAAAGGAATGCGGTAACTTCAAAATATCCAAATATTTAAAAAAAAACTATTTGGATAATGAAAAAAAAATGCACTACAGAACTAGTTCAAGATGTTTAACTAAATTAGTAAGGTACTCGTAAGAGCGATATATGAAATATCACGTGCAAGTATCATGCTCGGTCCTCATTCCTCTCTGCCTACCCCGCAAGCTATATATGGCTTGAAGATGTAGAAAGGTAGATAGATCAAGTGCAATATGCTCACGGATGATATCAGCTAGGTCTTTGCGCAGTGTAGGTTCCCCACCGGTGAGGCGCACTTTGTCCACTCCCAGCGATACGAACAGTCGCAGCGCGCGGGACAACTCCTCACGCGTCAGCAGCGCCGGCCGCGGTGATAGCGGCGCCCCCTCCGCTGGCATGCAGTACTGGCCTACAAGACACGAGGTGGAGCATACGGACTTTTTACTTCAATTAGATTTCCTGTGACAAGATCTTAAGGACTGGTGAATATCTTACTATAGATCCGTCACGGAACGTAATTTTTCGACTCAAACCGTATTCCGCCTATCTCGTAGTGCACTTGCCTTGAAGACAGACTTAACTCTTCAAATGTGACAGATGCGTATTTTCAAGGAAATCCTTACATGGCCTTGTCAAATAGATCTATAGTTTTTGTAAACGAACATAGTCGTCAAGTTAAAAACAGGCGACGTCTTACTATCGGGAACTTCATCGGAGTTTGATAATTCATGTAACACTACTAGATGGGGAACTAATAACAAAAATGAGCAATACGTTCTTGTCACAAGCTCTCCGAGCCACCGCCACCAGGTGTAACAGAACCTTTTTTTTAACTTCGAGGAAATGCATTATTCAACCCCTGCCGCCCGGCAAGCGACAGGGGGTGTGTGGGACTCTCCTTCGTGGCTAGCCGCGCGGTGGGCTCCCGAAGGCCTACCCACAAAAACCCCTACGGTGTACCCTCCCCTGGGGATGAGACCCGGGATGCCGTGACCCCAGGTGTAACAGCACCTGACCTCAGTACTGGGTACTGAGTGATGTACAACCTTATTACTTCAACATACTGATGTTACAAGCTCCAGCACATTTTTGTCACAAGCTCTTAGATTAAAAACTATTGTGGTAAATTTATTTTTTATTTATTTATGTTAAATTAAAGCGAAATATTTTTGTACGCACAACGCAGATTGCATCGCTCAGTGAGAGAAATGCGCAAATAGTTATGACGGCGGCCGTGCAGGTCTACGAGCGGTGGGAGTGCAGCTCCCGGTGCTACATCCTCCTCCGAAGCCGCTGCAGCACAGTTTACCTAAACAACATTTTTAAACATTTACTATTCATCATCATCTTCAGCCCTTTTACGTCCCCACTGCAGGGGCTCAGGCCTTCCTTATGGATGGTTAAGGAGGATAGGCCATGACCCTCCACGCTGGCCCAATGAGGATTGATTGATTGGGTATTAAAGACTACAAATGCAGCCGGGACCAACGTCTTAAGGTGCCTTCCGAAGCACGGAGTGGCTCGAGATAATAATTTTTTGGTCACCCATTCCGTGACCGACCCTTGCGAAAGTTGCTTAACGACAACGATCGCGGGTCGCGGCGCTTATCCACTACGCTACCGAGCTACTCTACATTTTACTTATTTACCCATTAGCGAGTTCAGTTTTAAGTGACTATAACTTTATGAATATGTAATTGAAACATACAAGTACCAGTCCATCAGCACAGAAGTCTAAAATGGCAATATTCACTGAGAATAGGTTGAGTCTTTGATTATATTTAAAGTAGTGACTTAACATGATTTATTTTCACGCGTCACCAAATCTCTTGAGCTGCCTAAATGTTACACCAATCTCCTCCTTAAATCCTTTTCTGTTCGTGGTGTTCAACTATGGAACAAACTTCCCTTGAATATTCAGAATTGCCCTTCCATTTAGTCTTTTAAATTCAAACTTAAAGACTTCTTTCTAGAACAATGTTCGTATTCATGACACTGCCTTCATCGTATCGTATATATGTAGTGTATATTTTATGTATTGTGTATATCTATTTTTCGTTTGTTATATATATATATATATATATATATATATATATATATATATATATATATATATATATATATTTTTTTTTTTTTTTTTTTGCATCCGTAATATAATTTGATTGCACTTTTTTCAACCGCTTACATCTTACTCTCTCACAACTCCTAGGTTGGCTGGAAGAGATGTCTTATAAAGATAAGCCCACCCTTGTAACTAATTTATTTACTTGTTTTTATGTAAAATTTTGAGTGCAATAAAGCATATTATTTTTTATTTTGTTTTTCTTTAAATAAAAAAGAAGCATTTGATGAGGTAGGTTTTATATTGTCTTTTATTTTACTAGAATCAAATTTAATAATAATAGAATAGCTATTAATAAAAAAATGCAATCCTGACTTGTCTCCACACAAATATGCATGTTGCCAATTTAATTTATGATTTTAAAAAAGGTATAAAAATAAACGGAAATAATATTATTTCTTTTAGCAAAAACTGCAATAATTAATTTCTATTCCATACTCCTGAAAAAAAAACCCCAATAGTTTTTACAACACTTATTAGAAGCAATCAAAGTGTGGGTAGAAATCTTGAAAAAAAATAAGGTAACAGAGGGTAAATCCGCAAAATTAACAAACTTTAAAATTTAACAATAATTAAAGAAAATGTGATAAACATTTGAGTTATAGTTTAGTAATTTGCATAAATATAATTCATGAATTTTTTAATGATGATTGTGTAAATCTTTCTTTTCTTTTAACTATGAATCTTGCTTTCCAATTCATCGTCATTTAAAAGTAAAATAAAAGTTGGTGATTTTGAAATACAAACTTATTTTGAAATAGTGAATGCTGTTCTATATTAAAGACCTGTCAATTTTAATAAATATCTGTGTTGTGAAGACTGTATGTGGTGTTTGAGACAATAAAATTATTTCCTTGGTCAAAGACCACAGTAATACAGGAAAAGATAATTATGATTTTAAAAATATGATTGAAATTACTTCAGCCAGTTACTAAGCAAGTAAAAATAAGTGCAAACAGATCAACTATTTATCAACATAGTCGTGCTTTTCACAGATAATTATAAGCTGTACTTACATCACTAATTGACCTACGGGTGAAGGTTAGAGCTGACCCTCCACCGGCATTCACTTTAGGCACCAATGATAAAAACCGGACCTTCCGGAAATTTATACGCATGTTTGCCTTAGTGCAAAACGTATAATGAACTCAATAAGCTCCGTAGAACTGACTTGAGTCAAGTTAATTAAAGTCAACGCAATACCAGCTCGTAGGTAACGTAATACAGAATGGAACTAATGAAATTGTAAACAAGTTTCAACTATCATAAACACTTGACATTTACACGTAGAGTTAGTTTCACTAAAGAAGTCCATCGGCTCACAATAATTTCGTTTTTATTACAAAGGAGTAAGAGTTATGCCGCGGAACATCATTCGTGAGACAGACTTTACAGCAAACACACATACTACACACCACCAACTGTTACTGTCAATGTCAATGAATGAATGAATGAATGAAAATTCTTTATTGTGCATCAATGGACAAAAACAAATATATGGATACAGTAAATGTGAATGCACAACTGGCGGCCTTATTACTAAAGAGTAATTTCTTCCAGGCAACCTTGTGAACTGAACGAAAAATTATATCTACATTAGATTATATTAGGGTAGCTTATGGTGTCTCAAACTTTATCATGATATCATAGCTCTACACATATATTTAATTAATAAATGAAGTACATAAATACTATAAATTCTATAATACATATATTTATATATAACATACATATAAGCCCTTAGATGACAGATAAGAATCAGACGGGATTCAGAGTGAGTGACAGATAATGCTCTTTGACTAGTTCTTTAAAAATGTGTATGCTTTGAGCACGCCTGATATTTTCTGGCAATGCATTCCAAAGACGTGCAGCTTGGACTGTAAATGATTTATCAATAAATTTATTTATTATGCATCGGTATTGACAATTTCAAGTTCTCTGATGACCTCAAAATTCTAGTGTGTGTATTATGAAGGAATTTAAAACGTTCCTTAAGATAAACTGGTGAGTAAGGATTAAACAGAATACTTTAAAGAATAGAAACAATATGTGCATTCCGGCGAAGACGAATTGGCAGTCACTAATTACTTAGCTGTCAATGATTGCCTGATCATGGACGTAATAGTACTAATATAATAGGACTCATAATTTTGAAAAATTATGATTACGGAAATGAATTTTAATTGAAACAGTTCAAGTGTATTTTTAATTATTTTTTTATAGAAGCTAATCCGAGCCGAAAGAAATAGTCACAAAAGAAGCCACATGTCGTGTTCCTTCAACGTGCCATTAAAAAAATATCGTTGACTAAAAATTTAAATAAATAGGTTTATTATGTTTGTCTCTTTCATATCTACGATTAAACCTTAAATTAAACAAAGACAGAATATGTGTATACGACAGAATGAACGGAAAAATGGGTAATTGATATTGTATTGCCAGCTCTCGAAAATTCACCCATGACGATGAATGAATGAATGAACAAGTAATCAATCAGAAAAATACTGTTGAAAAGAAAACAATCACGAAAGTAGGCTCTATGCATATAAATCCCTTGGTTTTTCGATAAAGTCAGTGTTTAAGAGAAAAACATTTGTTAAAGTTAACAAAAGATCAAAGGTTCCATTTTACGTATTTCCAAAAGTTGTATCTCGACAACTAACGAATTCCACGCCTTGAAAAAATTAAATTAACTTTAAAAAATTAAACCACTTTAGCACTGTGTATGAAAGAAATATCAACACAATTTGCACAGTTGCCTATACTAAATACGAGCCATATAAATAATTAAAAGAAGATATTTATATTTATTTATTATTTACAATAAAATGCAAAGGCTCCCATATAGTGGGGAAAATTGAAAGTGAATATCAATGGCAACACTGACGATAAAATGTCAAAATTTTATTTGTGAAAATTAAATATTTTTATTTTATAAACTAGCTTTAATTTTGTTTTTATTGTCAAAAATGTTAATGACTTAAGTGTGAAACTTAATATTCTTTCGTATTATGTGTATTTGTGAAAGAGAATCGTATTTTATTCACTGTTTTTCTTCGTTTTTGCGGAGCATTTTTTTGTACTTTCTCGGCGGGAGTTGAATGAGTATTGAAATGAAAAACAAAAAAACTAAGACAAACGTCTTAGTTTTAGTAGCTTCACATTTTGTGTATGTATTGCGTATCTAGACATATTAATATCATTGTTCCGTGATCATCACATAAGGCTGAGGTGTTAAGTATTTTTTAATTATGAGTATAGATACGTTTAAAACACATTCACAATACAAAACAATATATTTTATGAAAATATTATATATATTTAATTAATTAAATTAGGCTACCGTAACTAGGCCACCAGTTCCAAATTTGGGAGTCTTGTGTGAGAAGAACAGCTAAAGAAACATACTCCGACAAGAAATTGCTCCCTTTGATTTAATATTTACAGTATGAAGTAACTGTATCTTTTAGTTTTGTAATGTGTGATTTGGATTGAGATTTTGTTTGCCTAATTACTGGATCCCAAGCCACTAGTAACTACTAATAGAACTAGAACTACTCTATGGAACTAGGCTGTATGGGCTAAGCAACCTTTGCCTTCCTCTCCCCTGCTGGAATGGGAAAATTGAACCAAAAAAAGATCTCTATGGAACATTCGGAATTTTGAACTTAGGTTTTGAATGTGCGTTCTTTTTATCTTTGGAGCGTTTGTTCTAATACGGGCATTATTTTCTGTAAATGTATCCGTCTAAAATGAAAGAGCCTAATTCGGCAGCGATCACTTCAGGGTCTGGGGTAAGTATTTGCAGTCAACGTTTCCGTTTGACAATCTGTTTATATCTATCGGCGGCTATCGTGAGCGATTGTTTTACTGAGTTTAGTTGTAGTAGCAATGTTTAATCACCAGGATTAAACAGTATCTGATATTTTTAAAACATTTTCAGCTTACACACGAGGAAATATGCGAAAGTGCGACTATTTTAGACGAGGGCTTAAGAGTAGGTATAAAGTTGAAAGTTTTGCTATTGCCTCTTACATGACTAAATTAAGCTATGAAAATGTTTTTACTAATGATAAATAGATTCGTTATTCTATACTTTAAATTTATAACCAACTGTATGTTTTCAGTTATGTCCGTTATGTGCTTCAGAAGTAAGATTGTTTTTTATCAACTTCAATGAGAAAATATTAATGTGTGAAAATACTGAATGCGAGTACCCATTTGGTCACGAGAATGTTGTTTACGTGAAGGAAGACGATGAGAGCCAAAATGATGAAGTCGTCAGTATTAAAAGTAGAACAGTAAGAGGTACTCCTCATGATACTTTATCAATCGTATCCACATCTGCTTGGTCAGAGATCGATAATATCAACAGAGTGTATGAAGCTGAAGAGCAGCTAGACCAAAGACCAGAGATAAAGGAGTATTATTTACATAAAAGAACTAGTAGAATAACAGGGGATGATGAAAATCAAAAGAAACTGTTTCAGAATGTGCAAGAAATTAACAAATTGAATAAAGAGTTAAATGACTCAAAACAGGAGATGTTTGTGCAACCACAGTTGAAAAATGAAAAGTGGATAAAAAATTTGATGTCAATGCAAAAATATTCAGGTATGTCGCTTTTGAAACCCAACGAAATGAAGTTAGTTAAAAAGACGGAGTCAGAAATTGGTTCAGGGGAGTTGAAAATTGACATCAATATGGGAAAAGATGAATGTGACATGTCATCTGTTAAAATAGAAATTTTTAATATCAAAGAACAGTAACAACAACTTTGGGAGAATTTTTTATTTTAGTGTATTAAAGTGTTATTATTATAGATTGACAGGAATTGACAATCTAGGTTTCTTAACTATTTTGGGCAAGGGAGCCCTTTGCCAAAATGAACTGACCCTTTAAAAATACTATCTTTATGTCTAGAATCTGCATTATGCCTATTTCCATTGCCTTCTGTATTTTTTCTGAACTAGCATTTGCAAATGAAGAAAAATTTAAGGTATATAAAAAGTACATAGGGTAATCATTGAGATGATATGCAACACTATGTTCAACTCGACAGAAAAAAAAGGGCGATGACACCATTTCACCAAAATTTGCAGTTCTTGTTCACTGTTAGTAAAAAAGCAGAAGGATGTAAAAACCAAAGAAGGCGGATTCATTTTTCACTATAAATTGATTATATGTTGTCAGAAGTCATAAATAGATACAGGTAGATAGACATTAATACACCTAATGCAATGATAATGGTGGAATGGGGAGTGTTACATAATTTTTAATTCTTCAGTGGTTTTAATGTATTTCCTCTGTAATTCCTTTGTTTCTTTGTTAATTAATTCCTCTGTTCCTAACAATATCATTAGGTATTAGGCTAGTTATTAATGACATTTGATATTGAATATCAAATAAAATAAATGTGATATTAGTTATATAATTAATTTTTAAAATTTAATATGAAAATGAAAATTAAAAGTAATTTGTCCATATTTCCTGACTTTTTATTTAAAAAATATTAAAGTACCAAAATGTATTCATTTGTAAAACATTGATCTGAATATTTTATTCCATGGAGAGATAACCTCTTGTACTTTGAAAAATGCAAAAAGTTTTAATAAGTAAAACAAAGGAGTTTATAGACCAGTGTTGTGATTGCCTTACTTCAACCATGATTCTAGCCATAGCATACAATATACTACTTTGACATCTACTTTAGTAACAACGAACGAACAATATAGAATGATGATTTTGGATTTGATAGCAATGTTACCAACTTGGTCATTGATTCCATATTTATTCACCAAAACACATGTCAAAGTACTATCATGTAACGAAATATCGATAAGATGTCGTATCCCATGGCATGGCAATCAAGGTTAGAGGTTTTTAAATTGTCAAAAATACAAAACCTCAAGATTATTCTCCATAACTTAAGTGTTTTATTTTTCACAAGGCAAAATCCCAGTTCTTATGAGACTGCTATCAAGAGATCCCTAAAAAAACTAAAATCGGTATCGAAACCTGTTTAAGCACAGCATAAGTGAGAATCGCTAACTTGAAATACCTAAATCAGAAAACGGGTGCTAGTTGGTGTATATATTTGATGTCAGTAATTAAATAGACATTTTGCAATAAATAGAACGATATTAGTTTTTAAAATGTATGAGCATAAAATGAAAGAGAGCCACCAAAAACTAAAAATAATCCATTCTTCTGAGAGCCCCATGTGGTTCGCAAGCCACAATTTGGCCCCTCCCGTAAAGACTGAGAGATATCATTCTCTCTTTATCGATATCAGTTAATGAAAGAAAAAACCTACAACAACAAATGAATTCTTGCTGCTTGTGCAACATTTCAACCTTTAACGGTCAGTTGCACAAACGTCCATTAAGGTTTAATGTCATCTTTAAGCTCTAATAAATGTCAAATTTGTATCGGTAATGTCGCTTTTAACTAATGACAATATTAATGAACGTTAGTGAAACTAGCTGTAAGAGTATTAAGTCAAGTAGTTAATCTATGAAGTTGGTGTACTTTTTACAAGCTTTTATTTATCTTGCCTTATAAGTGCGGAAATTTTGGACCTCTTTGACCCACTTCTCAATAAGATTTGGAATTTTCATAGACATTTAAGGTCAGTTGACAATGCAATATCATAGTGTCAGTAAACTGATATCATGATGGATTCTGAAGATGCTCATAGGAACATAGTGATGAAATGACACAACCGCATCGTTTTTGGGCTCGTTAGATCCATCTTTATGAGGACTTTGGTATTGGATGCTTTCCAACCCGAGGTCTGGTGATGATGGAGCTGAAAGGTCATAGGAACTAAGCAATGAAATGACGCAACTTCAAGTGTTTAAGCTAACAACAACATATATAAAATTAACAGGTAAAACACCTTGCGATACAAATACTGTGTCAGAAATTAACAGAATGGGACAAAACGTAAAAAATAAAAATGTAATAAATAAAAGCTTTTTATAAACAAGCTTTTATTTGTGCGCACTCAAACTAAACTAATTATTTTATGCAAGACAAGTTCATAAGGTAAATAAATGAATTTTTTTATTAAAGTACTTAAAACTTTAATAAAAAATTTCTCTAACAGTAATTGGCTTGAAAAGCTTGTACCGTGTAAAAATGACTATTTCCTCGAACAAATAAAAGCTTGTTTTTAAAAAACTTTTTTAAAATATATTTTTATTTTCCTGTGTAGTACACTTAAAGTACACTATAAACTACTAAACTAACAACAACATATATAAAATTAACAGGTAAAACACCTTGCGATACAAATACTGTGTCAGAAATTAACAGAATGGGACAAAAAGTAAAAAATAAAAATGTAATAAATAAAAGCTTTTTATAAACAAGCTTTTATTTGTGCGCACTAAAACTTAAATAATAAATTTATGCAAGACAAGTTCATAAGGTAAATTTTTAAGTAGTTTAAAAAAAAAATTCTCTAACAGTAAGTGACTTGAAAAGCTTGTACCGCGTAAAAATGAGTATTTCCTCGAACAAATAAAAGCTTGTTTTTAAAAAACTTTTTTTAAATATATCTTTATTTTCTTGTGTAGTACACTATAAACTAAAGTACACTTAAAGGTTATGTTAATATTCGAAAAAGTAGTCAATTATAAAAGAGGTCAAGATTATTTAATTCGTTTAAGTTGTCACAGTGATGATGGAGGGTGATTATACGAGTAATATAATGATAATATTATCTATTCCTCGGTCACGTTACAAGACACTCGGGAAGGCAGAGATCGGAAATGAAAATATAACGCTCACTCTCACTAAATGGAGGCGCGTAGCCGCTTACCTATTAGTAGGTATATATGTAATATCACAGATAGGTTCTAACATTTCTAATGCTTTCATTTCTTTTTTGTAAAAAGATGTGATTGTTGCATTTCCATCGAAGTGTTGAAGTGCGTGTATGAAACGTTATAAGTGCTTACATAGTATGTACATTCGTATTTAGTGGCGTTTTCATACAAGCACTTCAACGCTGTCGAGCAAACTGTAGCGTACTAAGACAGCAATAGGGACTGGTTTTTATGCGTTGGGTACGGAATCCTAAAAATAAGTTTTTTAAATAGCAAATATACTCGTTAATATGAATCAGTTCCTACTTAGCGTATTATTACAATATGTATGTAATGTGCTAGACAACATCACATACATCAATTAGATTCTAAGATAAGTATCTAAAGCCCCTGTATTATCGAGTATGAGACAACGAAGGTACCACAATACCCAGACCTGAGATAATATAAAAAAACCACTCGGCTTTCGAGGTCGTCAATATGTACCTATCTTAATTAAAAACCAATAATTATTGAGATTTAGATATACTCGTATGGTGATCTTCATTCTAGTCTTTATAAAAAGCATTTGTAAATAATGTAGAGCATAGAAGATGGAGTGACTAGAAGTTCTGTGATGGAGACCTAGTTGTTTTTGCAGTCACCTACTTAGCCTAATTGATTATTTACAATGAAGGTAATTAAACATACAATTATTTTAAAACCTTGATAATTTGTCATGTTTCTGTTAAGTAATTTAATTATATTAATGAATTATCTATTTGAGAAACTGGAATAGTCACGGTTCATGAGATTGACCACCGTAACGCAAACGCTTAGTAGATGGGTAGGTATGCTAACATTGCTAATAGGTTTATCTTTTTTGTGATAATTACAAATTGTCACGAAGGCAACTCCCCAGAATTACGGTTTTTCCCTATTGCAGCTGCTCCTGTAAATATATGTAAGAGAAAAGAACACTACAGAGCATTGGTGAGTGCTCAAGTTTCGTAAAGGATGGTTATAACATGGATAATGTTTACCTAAAAATATAATATTAGGAGTTCGTTGTTATTAAATGCTTTAAAAAAATACGGACTTTTTACTGCAGTATGTAAATTAAAGTGGTTGTGATTTGAGATGTAATAATGTGGTTTGCAATAAGGTGGCACTTATTTACTGGTATATCTGGTGTGGAGCAGGAGGTTCTGTTAGAAGTTTGCACTTGGCTTTCCCTACTACATAAATGATTACTTGCAGCTTCTGTACGACGAACGGCAAAGAGATGTAATGAAAATACTTACACTCGAAATCAACTAGGTACGAGTAGGTTCCGAGTTCCGTGAGATTGTTTCTTAAAAGAATTAAGAGGTAAATAGTCAAGTATACATGTTATTCTACTTAATGTAATTCTACTCTCTGAGTACTTAGGTATATAAAACAAATATAAGATTACCTACTTACAGTAGCTTACATATGAAAATCATCATGTTTTGAGAGATAACGGCTTATACCTTGTTTTTAGATGTCAAGACAACTTAAGACGAACACAGGTGCACATTTTGAACCAGCCACGTAACAGCGAAGTGCAACCCTCCTTTCTTACCTTTCAATTGTTTTACTTCATTCCTCTCCCTGTACTCGTCTTTTACAGACGCTATTTCTTCCGGAAGCTGCTTCCTCCCTGATATGCAACTCGTGGCTTTCACAGGAAAGGTTCTCGTTTCCTCACACATGCAACTGAGCATGCGAAACTTCAACTGAAAGCTTTTTTTTTAATTTAAACAGACCAATATCAACACGCAAGTAATGCATTCGTATTTTTATAGGTACCAAGATGAAAATAGTTGTATCTGTCTCTATGAATTCTCCGTAAGTAAGCCGCACTTGCTCTGCTAGTGTTTGACCGTGTCCCCCGTCTCGCGGTGAGTTTATTTATATAGGGTTGATCGGTTCGGCGGCCGGCCACTTTCCTTGCTGCTGTCGTCCGGTGAAAAGGTTGCGTCTTTTTTATCTGCGGTTATGTGAATGGAACACGCCAAATAAAGGTTAGATTTTTATTTCGTAAAATAAGACTGAATTAACATCCTTGTTAACCCCTTTCGCTTTTGTCAATAAGTCTAAAGCCGGCTCGTCCATATAGGCTATTACTAGGCAGCTGCCTAGGGTGCTCGAATTTGTGGGTCGAATTTTGAACATGAATCCATGTCTGCGGTATTCAAAAGAACAATATTTTCAGACTAGCAGTACTTAAGGAGGTTCCTTTATCACTGGCAAAATTACACTCTTTAATCGGTGTATCTACATCAGTATTTTATTTTGGTATGATTTTTTATAGGCGTCGTTCTAATCTTTTGCCTATGACGCCAAGTTGCAGTGTTTGGTTTAGAGCACCTCTTTTCCGTATTCTGTGGGTTTAGAGCGCTAAGTTGCAGTGTTTTGCCTAGGGCGGCAAGTTTCATTGAGCCGGCGCTGAATAAGTCAGTCCAAAATCATTAACGCTTAACGTTACACGTGATTAATCATTTTCTTATTGTATTCAATTATTATCAAAATATTAGAACATTATACTGTAAACGGTCTCAGTGTTTTCATTATATTCTCTATCAATAACATTGGTAAGTTTACAATTATTAACTCTAGTTATTCATTTGATCAATTAAATAGCATTAACATATGCTATAAAAATTTTTTCAACCTTCTGTTTATTTTTAAGCATTTTTCAGTAACGAAACTCTAGATTAATTTATTCGCTAATTGATTACATTATGACACATATAGGCAGTGTCAGGTGTGGTGTCCAGAAGTTTAGTCGATAGGATTTTGAAATTTTAAGAACATCCTAAGCATTCTATTTTATTTATGAGTATTTGTTTTTTATTTGTCGAAGGCACTATTATTTTGGTGTTCTTGGGCCTTGTGCTTCTCCTAAATGAAACTTATCTTTCTTTTCTGAATTGAGAGCTTAAACTATGATGGTAGCAATTGAATGTATAAATAAAAAAATCCATAATAAATTATTTTAGTCTCATTTGGATTCACAATGCCATCTCATTATAAACTTGCTACTTAGAATTTATATAACTTGGAAAAGCGCTCGTCCGATTAGCGAGTTGTCGCCGGTTCGAGTTCAGCTGGTAACGGAGTTATTATTTTCGTGTATATTTTCATAGATAAATGGTAAAATTATTACCGATCAAGTATATAATATTCTGCACAATTCATGTTTACTAATTTTATAAGATAAACCTGTTCGGTTACGTAATAAACTTTGACATAAAAAGTAAAAGTATAGAATGATTTTGCTTCTTTTCCTGGGTACTATGTATCGATGCCGGTGTTTATTTACGCGTCTATTTTGTGATTGCTTTCGCAGGGACTGGTTATCGGATGGATGGTCAGAAGTTTTAATAATTCGTGTTCCTCTGTGGTTAAACTAAGTCCGGCTGCATCTACAGTCATTAAAATTCATCAATTTGTATGGCCCCAAAGTTACGTATTAAGAAGGCAACAAATCGTTGCTAAAAATAAATAAAAATAAAAATTTGGAGTTCTAAATTAGTAGACAATATAATTGACCATCTACAAAACATAGCGTCGTGATTGTGTTATAAAATATAACATTCTTTTTAATGATTATGTTTTAAATCTTAAATTAAATGGTGCATTTTTAAAATAATAAATTATATCTTTAGCAACACGCATTAAAACCAATAATAAAATAGAAATGAGGTTTTTTTATCCACTAGTATGTAAGAAGGTTTTTATATTTTTGTTTATAGGTACGAATTGATATAAAATGTTTGTTACAGATGCAGGAATATCTACTGACGCTGATTGTTTTGTGCACAGTGTATGGTGATGGTGTCACTAAAGCTTCTGGTGAGTTATTGCATTAGTTGTTTAGTTTGGTAAATTCTATAATGCGGTCCATTGTAGGTACACATTATATTTAGTCAGTGCCGGATTAAAAAATGGGGAAAACATATGATATGGCGGCAATTCACAGGAGTGATTTGTGACCCACGGATTGTGTGTTTATTAGAGTGGTAGGTTAAAGGGCAAGTACAAATCCGTGATAAGACCTGTCGTGATGGTATGGGCCAGAATGTTGGGCCGTAAACAAGATAGGTGAAAGAAAATTAAATGTAGCGGAGATGAGAATGACGAAAATGGATAAAGTAAGGAATGAGTACCCGTGTAAGAGGGAGTTCGAGGATGGCACCAGTGACAGAAAAACAGAAAGGAAAGCGTCTGGTATGGACATACAGAAGGGATGAAATTTATATAAATAATATAAATTGCTGAGCGGAGACCTTTTTAGTACCTAATTTTGAATTTTTCCATTATCAATGTTATATACCTGTAATTTGGTGCTAAATAAACAATTTTCTATTCTATTCTATTCTATAAATTGCTCTCCATCCATCGACATCCATCTGCGTCACCCTCTTAATTACCTCACGTTACGTAGATATAAAAAAAATATTCCATAGATATACCATGGGAAATATAACGACATTAATAGTGAGTGAATTTCTACCCTGTAAGTAAAATGGAAAGCCAGCTCTGCCGGTCGCTTGCATTTATTTACTTTCGCGGTTAGATTTAACTACTAGAGTAATTTGAGATATGTTTCTTTCAACGCAGAGCATTTATGTTGTCCTAAGCTAGGTTCAATTCTTTTTTATAATATTGATAGTAATATATTAATTTAAATATTTGTCATATTTTTTTTATTCGAATAGCGGTGCGTGCGGTATTTAGGAATATTTACTAAATAAGGATGGTATCCCTCTGTTAATAAATAAATTAACGTACTTTATTATCCATTTTCGATATGATTTTCTTTGTTTGTAATTGTATTGTATTTCATATGACTTTCTTGTGCTTTATTCTCACTCGGTTTTATACAAAGAAATAATATCCAAAATGGCTGTCATTCAAAACGAGAAAACTACAATTCATCTTTTCTGTAATGATTCTGTGACAGTCAAAACGTAAATTTATATCATTTTTTTTATGAATAATGAATATTAGTCAATGTAGCATTTTCAATTCAAAATTAATCAAACATAATGACGTGGATTCATATAGGAATATCTCATAAAATAACCCCGAATTTACATTTTCATACATTTATTATTAATTAAACCATTTTTAGATAAAATTGATAAACATACAGGTTACTTTGTGGGCGAACACAGGATTTTAATTCGCATTTTTTTGTTTTTGCCGCTCCTCTTAAGTACCTACCTAACAGTTGTTTGAGTAAAGGCTGTTCATATATAAATTACTAGTGTTACTTTTGTCGATGACTATTCAATCATTATGTAACCACTAAACAAGAGTATTTTTATGTTTGAAATCATGACTGTGGAAAAATAAGTAAAAGTTGCAAGTGAAAAGATGGCCGACATCGAATAATGTTTATTTTATAACTCTAACATGACTCGGTGATATTGTTTATACTTTTCGAAATTATTATTTCGTAATTGCAGGTATCTCGGATTTTTGGACGGACGATTACAAAGTGTTCGAGCAGGTATACGGTAAGACGTCAGACAAGGATCTGTATGGTGATACCCTGCCCAGCATTAGTCTAGCAGACCTCGGCAAGAAGCGCGCCGAGGCTACAGAGAAGAAGGAACGGTATATAGACAACCATGCATTTTCAGATTTTGATAGTTACAGTTTCGCTGATCGCTATGCCAAGATATTTGCAAAACAAATATTAGCTGACGACGTTAAGACTACTAAACCTCCGAAATCTTTTAATTTTATTAGTTACAATGACTTCAAGCCGATAAGTCAAGACAATGATCCAGAAACATACAATTATTTGAAACGTTTAGAAGAATATAACAAAGGAAAAACCTCAAAATACCCAAAAATCGGCGGAGGTTTCAAACCAGTTTTGAGTTACGGTGAAAATGATTCCGCTGAACAGGCTTACAGGAGTATTCAAGATATACTGGATGCTCATGAAGCTAATAAGGGTGGCAAGAATGATGAAGATGAACGAGATGAACAGATCAAATATTTGACTTATGGCACAGGTAAAAGTAAGAAGTCTAATGTAAGGAAGAAATCTGGTGGTGAGAAGTCCAGGTGTGGGTCTGGAAGATGCAGGAAGCGGGCAGTTAGCAGCGTCAGAGTAAAAAGTGGACCTTATATAAGGAAGATTATACAAAATCGTTGGCATTAGTTATTTTTTATGATATTGACGTGCTAAGTCGTGTTAAATTAATACTTAATCAGCTCTCTTTTAATGAAAGTATTTATATTTTATTTAGTTTGAATTATATTGTGGTAAATTATGAGGAATCTATCTATCAGAATTATAAACATTCGTAAGTTTTCGTCTTAAGGACGTCAGAAGAGATACTGCCTATTAACTTTACAATATAGTCCTTCTGATGAGATCATGATTATACCAGATAATTATGCAGAATTAGTAATGTGTATATTGTACTTATGAGCGTCATCCAAATTCCTCAATCATGATCCATCCTTTTAGACTTAGATTAGTTATTTTTGAAGGTCATTCAACAAATAGGTTCTTTTTACCCTTAAAAAAAACTTCTTATTTATCCTTTAAATCGTTTAGTTATCCAGGAAGAGTTTGATGAGCTTTCATGTATTTAGGTATTAATAATTTATTATCATTAATAGTTCGTATATCGTGTAAAAAATATAAGCATTGTTGAATGATCACTAATCAAAGTCTGCAGTCTCAAAATATGGATTCTTGTTTTTTTTAATTGTTAACGTAAATGGAAATCGACACGGAATTGAGATTGAAAAGTGGTTGAACTGGTAGTTATAAATAGCTTAAAAAGAGTAATTTTTAAGAAAGTTTCAGAGCTGTATAATATAATTTTTATATTTTTGTACTGTTGTTAAATAAAAATTAAATTATTATTGTGATGTTCTTGAATTTTATCATTTAAAAATGTTATCTATTGATTCAATATTAAGCTTCTTGATCCTTTACAGGAGTGGTTTGGGTGACAACATATATATATATATATATATATATATATATATAATTTATTGATTTAAATATACATATAAAGTGGAGCTGGACTCATGTTAGAAACATCAAATAAGGTCAATATTTCGGATTCATCGATTATCTCCGAAGCTGGGTCCCCTGTATTATTACCAGCTAACTAGCTAAATAAAACTCCAATTGATTATTTAATAAAATTGTAATTTTATAAAAACTTCTTAAAATCTAAATTTATCTTTTCACCCAAAACTTTCACATGAAAGTTAGTAGAAAGAATTTATTGCATTTTCACTCATATTTGAGTTCTTATAGAATCTTTTTGTTCACATTATTTGAACAGGCTTTCAGCAATTGTGTAGTAAATATATGTCATATTGCGTCCTCGACATATAAATAGTAGACAATTTCTACAACAATCCTAACTTGTCAGAAAAAGATATATGTTAAATTTGCTCTGTTATCTGTGTTACGTGGCGAGAGAAATGTAAACAAGGACTTAAAACCGGTAAAAATTTCAATTTCACTTTATACCAGTTATAGACCTCAAATAGCTAATATGAATAAATGAATTGCAGATTTGGTTAACCGGTATAAAATGTTTAATTAACCGGTTCGAAATAACTGGTCAATACAAGACAAAAAATAAAATTGTACATAAATATTTTTTTGTGAAAACTGCATACATTTATATAGTTTGAGTTAATTAAGTTTTCTTGGTTAAGCGATTAGTTGCACATGGAAATAAAATAGTTTTATTTCCAACGTCTACTACTATACCAAGACCGCTTCCAGGCTCTGGATTAACATACATCGATTATGATGTAAATTTGGCGTTTTAAGTCCGATAAAAGAGACCATCAAGCAAAAGAGCTACGAATTAAGTGGAGGTGATTGGTGTGAGGGAGCGAATAAGCTAATTAAATATTATTAAATTATTGTGTTAGTTGATGTGCACCGCTAGTGAACACAACACTATTCGATAAATATTATACATTCAACACAACATACGTGGCCTTTCCTCCGTTCGTTCCACTACTACATATACCCGTTATCTTTTAAAGCAATAAAATTCAGAGCTCTTCAGACCTGAAAGAAACTGTAGCATTATTAATTCGATTACTTTTTTCATATCCTTAATAAATGAAGTTAGGATTAGTATCACTCTGTCGGCCGTTGGTCTGGCTGAAGCCTCTGCTTTTCTTCTTATTCTCTTCGATGCTCTGCAGAAGAAATGGCGGTGCAGTTGACGCCCTCTGGTGTCTACTTTCTATTTCTCGTTGCAGCTCATCTACCAGTTGCCCACCTGTCTGCCTGGAAAAAAATATATATTACAATATATTCAACAATAATTACAGACAAATTTCCCATTGGTTAGTTAAAAATGACAACATAATGCATTCAACGTAGAGTTTTATAATGTCACTATAAATATAAGACAATATGATATACATTGCTCAAACCCCAAACATTTAAAGCCTTTGTATTATAGAAATCTGGAGCAACTAAATTACCACCACGTCCGGTCGGAATAACAGAGAGTCGATCGGAAATCGAACCGGGGACCTCAGAAATGGCTTATGAAAGTCGTCAAGTATCACATACATATATCATATGAGGAAATAAGGTAGAATATATTATTAATTAAAAAAATTGCACAGGTTAAATAATTAGGCTTAACATAAAACCCAATTGTTGATACTTATACAATTTCAATTCCTATGCATATTATAGTTATCTTTATAAATAAGTAATATGAAAGTATTAATAAAAATAATAATTCTGGACTCATGGCTCTGCCATGTTACTCATGGCAGTTAATGACTAATAACTATCATATCTACATTATCTAGTCAATGCATATATTTTATTATTACGATGTTTAGTTTTCATTTCTGAAATAGTTGTTATCAATCTTATTCACCGCGATTAATGATCATTAAATAATTTTATCTCGAGTACAACATAAATATCGCTATATTTTTTTATTTACTTTCGGAAAGAATACAATTGAAATTTTGAATATTGTTGTTACATCAAATAATTACATCCTATTAATTTTATTAATGTGAAAGTTTCTTTGTTTTGATGTTTGTCCGTCAATCACACTGAAACTAGAGAACGGATTTTGATGAAATTTGGTGTATAGATTTAGTGAATTAGCTGACTTAGATAAAAGGATACTTTTTGTCCCAGTAAACGTTATTCTAGGGACCTCGCGGGCGAAGCCACTGGCGAAAGTTAGTATCATCATATATTTGTATACTCTGACGTGCTGTTGACTGTAACTAATTAATTTATTGTGATAAATATTTGTGAAAAATAAAAATATTGTACAATGGAATAACACGTACCGCTCTCGCTCCCTGGTGGGCTGACCCTCGACATCATCCGTAGCGTATATGGAGAACCCTCGTTTTGATAACTCCTCATCAGGGGTGATGCCGGGGTTATGGAACGCGTGGTTGCCATCGTTGTCCATTCTCAGTTTTCTAATTAAATTTGATAGATATTAATACCATACATTAAAAAGTAGGAATCTACTTAGAGATTTCGCAGACCCCAATAGGCAAAAGAGAATAGATTTACTATTAAACCGCATTTAGGGGAGAGGGTGGCAAGATGGGGTACTTAAGCTTTGAAGGTTGATAAAATAAAAAAATACATAATGAAATAATGAAATTTATTTTTTAAATAACGAATAATTGTTACTATTCCAATATTTGGTGTCAGTAGCAACTTTAAGTTACATATTTTAGAGAAAAAAAATATGAATAAAAAAAAGGTGTTTTGCTCCGTCTTGCCCCATGGTGCTGGTAAGATGGGGTACTCCCTTGAGGTAAGATGGGGTGATGAAAGTGATCCCAGAGAAAGTTGATTACTTAGGGCTGGCAGAATTCGCAGACGTGCATGGCTTCATCAATATCATTATCTATTCCTGCGTAGCTATTATGACACCATCTTTCACATACTGAGCTTGATATCCACCCTTCAATGGAAACAGAATATACTTCCGAACAATACACGCATAGTCTGTCCCCCTCCTCTTCACTTTCATCTTCTGATGATGAGACTTTTCGTCGTTTAGCGTTTAAATTTCGTTGTTCGGCTATTTTTACGGAAAACAAACAAGAACATCATTTTTCTCATTGGGGGGCAAGAGTTAAAAAAAAAAAACCAGTCAAAATCTTAAGGAAACTCAATGCCTACTTTATTATTGAATAGTTTAAGCGTCAATCACAGCAACACCTCACCAGCTAGCGTTATTGAACAAACCACAGCCACGTGTCAAACCCGAAGAAAATATGATAAGCAGTTTGCAGTAAAATACTTTTTTGACTGTTTTCGATATGTGTAAGTATTATGGTGGCGCATCGAACGATGAATAAACGAGTGTGATTGGTTACTTTGAACTGTGAATTTCGCTGGGTGCCCCGTCTTACCCGCTACCCCGTCTTACCTCATTCTCCCCTACTTCCAATGAAATATGCAAATACAATCAGTAGGTACACAATAGGCAATAAGTCTTTTAAATATCTCATTACTACTACTATGTTTTGCCCATTTACAAAGAATCTTTAAAACCTTACAATGGAAATACTCCTTATTTTTGACGTATGTTACACTTCATAATTTACATATATCATATCAAAATATTTGTTCTGAAACTCAAATATTTACCGAGTCAACAATACCACAACGTATTTCTATTCACTTCACTTATCACTAAATCTTTACTCTCAGGGTATTATATTTTCACAATTATGATTTCAAAGAGCATTTTGTATGTACAATATGGCTACTGAAAATCATATGTTGTTTAACCATATTAAGACTAAACCATATTAAGCAGTTGCCTAATATAATTTTGTATGAATACAATACCCATAAGTGATACAAATCAAGAACACACTCACTGCACTCGGATCCTGCCGGTGGCTTGCATATCATTGACTCTCTTCCTGAGGCTGGCCAGTTGGACGAACAGGACCACCACCAGTACACAGAGTACAAGCCACGACGCACCGAATACGCTTGCGATTATTATCGTGTTATCATCCTGGTGGTGAAAATACAGGTTAGATTTTTTTTAAATATTTTAATTTCTGCGTTAGATATGTGTTCTAAAGTCTGGCTAAAGTTAGAGCAGTCCGTGTGTTATATGTGGACAAATAACCGGTCGTTGAGCAAATAACCGGCAATAACAAAAGTCTGTGATCAGGTTATCAGAGTTATATTATACATTCAGACTACAGGTACAGGTAAGAGTGGCTGGAATTATCAAGATTCGAGATGCCCATAATTACTTATTACGTTATATATTTAGATAGGATTTATCAGTAGTTGTTTAGCTAACTCAGAAGGTGTATGATTAAAAAATAATACAATCAGGAATCTTTGTTTTGTTACAATAGTAATATACTTTTTTGTTATAGGTTTGTGTGTTTTTTTTACTAGCCGCGTTAGTTGGTGTGTGGGTCAAATCTTGCAAGCTTGCAAAATGAAAAAAATAAAATGCAATAATATGGAATGCAGCAGCAAAACCTCAACGACTTGCATATTACCATTGTACAATCTACAAAAGTCCAATAATATATCAGTACAAGGTCTTCCTCACACATCAATGGTGCTGATACACAGTCACCATTGATGTGTGAGGAAGACACATGGTGACAGGTACAATTATAAAATGAAAGTCGATGAGATTCTATTGAGATGCGATTTAGCAAAATTGGCCTGGCGATCTTGTCTCGACAGTGACTTTGATCCGAGATAATATCCAAGTGCCCGATGATGGGACTGAAAGATGACCATAGCAATTTTTCATTTAAATAACGTGACACCGTGCAGTTTAGGCTCGTTTCATTTGTATAGATATAAAAGAGTTTGGTCTAAGAAACTATCACAAAACAAAAGCCGGGCTTAAAAACGAAAATTTTCATTTTGAACTTACAATCTAGTAAACCAAATTACAATCACACATGATTATAATTGGATACCCATACGTATTTTTATATAATTCGAAAGATTCGCTAGGCGCCTATTGATTAATTTTTGTAATGATTATAAAATTTTAAATGCCTTACCTTCACACTAAGACAAATGTTAACTCTAAAGAACAATTACAATTCACAAATGCTAGGAGTTATAAAAGTTGTGATGTACAATAAGTCAAAAAAAAAATAACAATATTTACAATTATGGTGTTATTTTAGTTTAATACCTAATTATTAGAAGTATTTCATTAAGCCAATACCTTTTATATGTGTGTATATCTTACGGCATAAAAAGGTTTAGGCATGATTCGAACTTGCATCCTTTGTTAAGTAGGTATGGTAAGGTAAGGTAAACAAAAACCAAAACTTTGATAATGAAAAAAGTTGTCACATTATTTTGAATTCTCTATATCGTTGAAAATGAAATTGTTGTTGTAACAATTATTTGAAGAAAATACTTCGGACGTCTTCTTGTGAAAGTAAAAGAACGGAGAAGTATTAAATTCGTAATTTATAAATGCTTTTCTTTTGAATTCTAAAGCCAGAAAGTTCTTTGCAGTTATAAATATAATCTCATTTGATAAGAACATAAATTCCTGTATGATACGTTGGCGATAGACGTGGAAAGTTAGATAAGAAGACGCTTCTTACATTTTTATCAAAAAACACTTGCTTGTTTTCATTGGTAAAACAGAAAACAAAACAAAATTTGTGAAATGGGTACTTGTATTGGTTTTTCGAAATAGGTCAATAATTTTTAAGTTTATTTACTTTGAAGTACAAAAATTGACACTTCTTTAGATAGGTAAACTAGTTTAAAATTAATAGGTATGCTGTTTTCATGAAAAAACGGAACCCTTTTTTGGATTAGGCAGCTATCTGCCTATAATGTCAGTCTGTTACCGTTTGAGTTGAGTGATTTACACATTGTTACAAACACCGTGTGGTGTGTGTAATACAAATAAAATATGATTTCTAATAATGTTTACTGTTCAATCTATACTATGTCATTTATCAAAAAAAAAAAATTATTGTGTTTTTTTAATAAGCGAAATTTTGGCATCCCTTTTCGAACAGTTATTCTTGCCATTACCTAACAAAGGTAATGTTATAAATCTATAATAATATTTATAGAGGTAAAGTTTCTAAATTTATTTTCTTTATAACACGAGCGAAGAAAACAGCTGGTTCTATCATTGAGCATAAGCTAACTCTCAATAACGTTAAAACTTTATGGCCAAATTTAAAAAAAAAATGATGAACATTGCTTCGGGCGTCATATATGTATAGCCGTGGGTTAATAAATAGTGCTATTGGTTTCTTAAGCCATCATTAAACGATCTTACGATAAACTCAATGTATCCAACTCTATCTTATCACAACTGGATTTGGTCTGTAGATAATGAGATGTGATGAAATACACGTCCTCATACATCCATCAGCTCGGCCAACAAAATAAAATGTAATTTATGTTACAAAATTAATTAAACTATTTACTATTTAATGTGGAACCCATTTTAAGATCAACTTAAAATATTATACAATTGTTATGTCTACACGATGGAATTTGTCTTTTTGATTGTAGTGATAGTCGAATATGTATACAGATGTTAGTATCATATTTTAACCAATACTATACATATTAATACTACTTAGTTTACGCAGCGAACTTCGTGTTGTTTACCTATATAGTTAATAATAAATAGAAACTAATAAGCACTGACATTGTTAAGAGGAAAGATTGGCTTAGTCGCGGAATATCTGTTGTTATATTATAATGAGTTACTCGCTAATAATGAAGATCCAATTGGCGAAAGAATTTTTAAAATTGGTTCATTACTTTCCGATATTTTAATGACAAACAAAAACATACCTTTAAATAAAACAATTTTAAACAGTTTCATCGTGTTTGGATTTTATTTTCTGACGTTTCGCTCCTTTTATAAGTTCCGTAAATTAATAAAAAATATTCCGCTTTATAATGTTAGGTAAATATGAACGTAGAAGCTTAGAAAGATAAAACAATGAGCTCACCATGTTTTAAATATTCGGAGACCTCATGTTTGGACGTGACCACTCCACGGCTTAATCACAACTGTATTATCAGTCTGAAAGGTCTGATAAATACTGTATCATACTGATTATACTAACATTTTATCAGCTATCAGAACGTGTGACGTAGGTGAGTCCATGTACCGACTGTACGATACTGCGTAAAACAAATTGAAAAGTCCAAATATCTTAAACTTATAAATTTGGCTTAGAATCTAGGACATGTCAACAGGATGTTGGGTTTTTAGCTTCACTAGAAATTGTGTGACAACTTTAAAAATAATTCTAAAATTAATAATTTTTTAAAGTTGTTTTAAGCTGCCCTAAATCAAATCAAATCAAATAATTTATTGGCCATATAACTCAGAAGGTTACACATGGCAAGAAGTTATTGACATTCAGTTACCCTCATTAAATGTTTTTTATATCACAGTTTTATTCGTTTCAGTTGTTCCTGAGATTATAGAGTTCAACTAAACAAACAAACTCTTCAGGTTTATTATTAGTATAGATATAGATATAAAGCATACGTTTGCAAGTTGTAAAAAGTTGCCAGGATAACAAAAGGTTACGACTAACATTCCTTTCTCGAGTAGGTAGGTAGATTATAGATATTTTCTATAACATTAACACCTATAGTATTGTGAATGCATTTATCAAGTAAATTAAATCTTTCTAATGAAATATACCATAGTAACGTGTTTATTTTTGCCGCCTAATACAGCAAATAAAAAAAATAAGACGAAGAAAAATCTTAAGACGAAGAGAATTCTAATATACTCACTTATTTCGCAATTGTACAGACAAACAATGAGTTAGATTAATTCGTGATTCTTTGAAACGGGCGCCGTCTTTTAAATACCATCTACAATAGATGCATTAATTTTGGCTCCTCGAAGTGCAAACAAAAGGCGGGCTCTCATGGGGTCCTTGACCTTTTGACAGTTGATTCGTTTGATTGACAAGGGCGGATTTATACTTGGCGGACTGCTGGCACCTCTGCTACCATATGCGGGTTGTGCGTAATCTGAATGTGGTATGATTTATAAGTAAAAAGCAAACAAATAGTCAGTTCAGAAAAATGATAAGATTAGAAAATATAAATTGAATAATTCGATAGATATATAAAATATTGTCTCTCGTATATTTAAGTTCAGCCAACGTGTATCTATGTAAGTTTACATGATTTAAAAGAGACTTGCTGTTATGTTTTTTTTATTTATATGCTGTGTGTTGTGTCATTTATTGAGTAATGATGAGATATTTTTTAAGTAATTCTTTCGTGGAAAACATGGATTTTGTAATGGAAAATAAAAAATAGCTGGCAAAAAACATGTCAATATGAAGCCTGCGAATAAATCTTTATTTGGATAACAGAAGTGATTCGTTAGTCACACACGCCTGCTATAGGTAAAACGTTATTGAGATGTTCGTGTGTGACCTCGCATCTGTGAACTTAGACCTTGTGCTGGCAGCTCGAGCTGATCTGCTCCACAATGCCATTGTTACCAATAACGTGCGCGTATCACTTGAGGAATTTTTCGTGAGTTGTCTGTCAGCTTTTGGTTCTATTAAAGTATTAACGACGACTCCGAAGGTAACTGTCCCAGATAAGGTACAAAATAAAATTCGTATTACATTGTCTTGCCATAAATATTGTTACATAGAAAATATTTTTTTTTATTGCAACATTTACTACTATTATAGCGTATTAGTTTAATACATTAAATTATATATAGTTTATTCGAAGTGGTCTTCATTGGGTGCAATGTATTGCACCCAATGAAGACCGTTAAACATTAAAGCCAGTTATCAATAGACGCACGAATTCTTCTATGGGAAAATTCTTAAATGTCAATCGTATGCAGAGTTGCCACCTGTCCCGATTTTGTCGGGACAGTCCCGATTTCGAAGACATTGTCCCGCGTCCCGACAGCCTATCGATTTTGTCCCGATTTTTGATACTACTATAATGTGATCTCAGCTCACTCGGTTGCGCGCCATCTACCGCACGCCGCATGTGCGCAGCACAAATATACATACCTCACACACACATATATAGTGTGTGGCGAGTTTTTTGTTTGTTGAGTTAAATTGAAAGATTGAAGAGAGAACTGCGTCGCGTCGCGTCAAACTCGAAAACTTTGTCGACTCTACATTACACGTCCTCAGTTCTGTTAAAAACGTTATGTGAGTATCTCTAAAGTGTACGTAGTTTATTAGGTAATCTTAATCTGTTAAGTCAAGCGGCCAGTGTTTTATTGCAATGGGTTGCATTGGGTGTGTGGTGTGCTTTTCGCGTTTTGTCAATTTATCATACCTATGTGGATAGATTAATCTTCAGTTCAGTTTAGTATGTTCTCTCATGTTGCAATCTATATACTATAATAAACCCGTAACCGATCGATGTCTGTACATTGAAGATATATGAAAAAAACTGTTATGAGGGACATTTATAAGCGTAATAGAACACAAAACAATGATTTTTAAATTTTTTGTCTGTTTGTCGGTTTGTCTGTGCGTTTGGGCACGATAACCTCAGAAACGGCTGAACCGATTTAAATGCAGTTTTCACTTTTATATTGCGATATTCTTCCGTTAACATTTAGAGATTTATTTTAAGTGGTTTGCAAATAAAAAAGTTATGTCAATTTGAAGTGACGTGTTCGCCAAAATTGCTATGAACTATTAACTGTATTATTACATTTTCGTCTTTGATATATTGATCATCATCATTAACTATTTGACAGCCAACAACAGGGCCTCAGGACTTTGTTTAATAATTTTTGGTCACCAATCCCGAGAACAACTCTTGCGAAAATTGCTTAGCAATATCGATCGTACGCAGCGGCGCTTATCCGGAGCGCCACCGAGTTACGAATTAATATTTTCTATAAAATGATAATTTGTATGATGAAAAATAAAAAAAATAAGATTCCAAAACTTTGAAAAATCCAAAGTAAGTTAACCTCATTTATAAATGGCCAATGATATTAAATAGGGTTCAGCTTATAATGGACGTGTGGTATACGATCACGCGAGTAGGATACATTCATGTATGTCTTGTCTTGTTGTGCAGTATTTTACTTATTTATTTCACTGCAATTTAAACCGAATGCGCTAACCCACTACGCCATCGGACCTCTTATACCTAAGATATACTAATATTATAAAGAGGAAAGATTTGGTTGTTCTTTTGTTTGCACCGAATTTGCCCCACAACTACTGGGCCGATAGTTTCAGAGTGATTTCGACCTAAGGGGAGGTTAGATCAGACGCGCATGTCACAGGCTATAATTTTGCGGCAAAGTCGCGGGAAAACAGCTGGTTCATTATACCTTGTGAAAACTTATCTGCGCTACGCCTGTGGAGTATGAAGGCAACACGGGTTGGCGATAATCGATAATTCTCGATCCCTATTGTGCAAACTGCGAGCTATACACTAAATGTTAACGGAAGAATACCGCAATATAAAAGTGAAAACTGCATTTAAATCGGTTCAGCCGTTTCTGAGGTTATCGTGCACAAACGCACAGACAAACCGACAAACAAACAAAAAATTTAAAAATCATTGTTTTGTGTTCTATTACGCTTATAAATGTCCCTCATAACAGTTTTTTTCATATATCTTCAATGTACAGACATCGATCGGTTACGGGTTTATTATAGTATATAGATTGCAACATGAGAGAACATACTAAACTGAACTGAAGATTAATCTATCCACATAGGCATGATAAATTGACAAAACGCGAAAAGCACACCACACACCCAATGCAACCCATTGCAATAAAACACTGGCCGCTTGACTTAACAGATTAAGATTACCTAATAAACTACGTACACTTTAGAGATACTCACATAACGTTTTTAACAGAACTGAGGACGTGTAATGTAGAGTCGACAAACGTTTTCGAGTTTGACGCGACGCGACGCAGTTCTCTCTTCAATCTTTCAATTTAACTCAACAAACAAAAAACTCGCCACACACTATATATGTGTGTGTGAGGTATGTACATTTATGCTGCGCACATGCGGCGTGCGGTAGATGGCGCGCAACCGAGTGAGCTAAGATCACGGTGCTACAAACAAAAGATACCGACTGCAGTAACTCCAAAAAACATAGTTTACTTTTGTTCTTTTTTTTACTTTTTAGTATTGAAATTGGTTCTTGTTTAAAAAAAATATTTCATTCTTTTTTGTGTTATGTCAGATCGTGATTAGCTAGACCAGAGATGGCGAACTAATGGCACACGTGCCATTGGTGGCATGTGGCAAAATATTTTGGGCACAATCACGAAATTCAATGTACACTTAGAAAAAGAATACCTTTTTTGTAGTAAATAAGGAATTATTGGTTGGCAATAGTTTTCGCAATAATCACAAAGCTAAAATTATTTGATGGCATGCATATGACCTCATTAAACATTTTTGTAGAAAAATGGCACGTTGATGTATAAAGATTCGCCTACCCTGAACTAGACTAAATGACCGATTAGGAATAAGTAACAATAATGTTACGCAAAAATATAAACCAATCAAAACATCTGGTCTTAAACTAAGAACCTCCTTTTTTGAAGTCGGTTAAAATACTAAAACCTTCTCCTGAGTGCAATAAATACTTTCTGAAAACCGCATCGAAATCGGTTCAGCCAATCGCGAGATAATCGCAGACAAACATACATACATACTTAAAGGTCAAACTGAGAACCTCCTTTTTTGAAGTCGGTTAAAAATAAATACACATTAGATCACAAACTAGTTTTATTTTCTGTAGTCCGTCTTATGGGTTATATTGGATTGGACCATGACTAGACTAAACTTCGAACTAGTCCGAACGACTCTGATGACTACTTGATTGTCCCGATTTTTATTCCCGAAAAGGTGGCAACCCTGATCGTATGGGTAATCAATTAGAGCAAGCCTTACTCTATAAAACTTATCGTAATTCATAATCCAGCGGTTTGAGATCCGGACCTGATGACAGCCAGTCTTGAGCTCTGATGAAGACCGGAACGTTCGTTTCTAACCAAGATTTGGTAGATCGAGCTTTATGACCTGGCATCAAGTCTTACTGAAAGGATCATTCTTGGTTATCTTGGTAATTTCGATTTATTTTCTGATTTGTT